TTTATATAGTTGTTGCTAAACTGAAAAATCTAGAGTTCGAACCTCGGGCAGATGAGGCTTGTTAGCTGGAGACAGCCACTTTTCTAGGGGAGACAACTCCAAAATCAAACAACTGCTGCCTTGTAGTTTGTTCTTGGTTGGACAAATGTTATGGAAGCAAATCCAAAAAGAAAAGCAGGCTGAAATCGGAGGCAATGGCCTCAATTGCTCATAACCAGTTGGCACGTGTACTTAATTTTGTTGGAGGGGATCCCTTCCAACACTAAAATTAAGAACGAAGAAGAAGAATACTGATATTGTTTTGAACGTGTTATTGAAAATTAACTTTTAAATTTGGACGAGATATTAAACTTCGCAACAGTAAAAGTGCAAAAACTCAACTTTACCCTTTCAGGTTGATAAATATGTCACGTTGATATTTTGTTTGGCCTGTTTTAGTTGCGTGTGAAGTTTCGATCTCATTATAATAAGTTTAATGTAGTCAAATCCATTCATTCCTAGATGTCAATGTAATGTCCTTTACCTTTGGTTCAGTTGTGTGGAGAGGGTCTGTGCTCTTACCGCCCAGGCTTTGTGCATGGAATTCCAATGTGTAATTATCAAATGGTCTATTAGACTATGGAGCCATATTATTATACTATACCGATTCTATTTAACGTGGTGATAGCTTTTACAACACCGTTTTCATATAAGGTTTTTCTTGTGATAGCTTTTACTTAATTTTTTTCAGATAAAGTTTTTCTTGAAGAGAAGACCCACTTTTCTCCTCATCAACATTATCCTCCCTGTCGTGTTTCTCTCTTTCCTCAATCTGCTTGTCTTCATCATTCCAGTGGAATCAGGGGACAAAATCAGCTATGGTGAGTTGTATAAATTTGTATGGTTCTAAATCTGGATTCACTCCAAACCCAGGGGTTAAGTGAGTCAGTCTCAAGGGTTCGATGATTGCGCATTTAAAACTGATGGTGTTCGGCATCTCCAAAAAGGTTAGGATCCAATAAACCAGATGCATCATATTAATACTAACTTGTTCTTGGTAATATCTCGGTATTTAAAGAAAATTTGATATTTCCTGATGTTTTATTAAACGTATATTAAAATATGTTTTAAAAAGTAGCTGTAGTACACAACGCAAATAACGATAGTATATTACTTACCGCTACCTTAAAATGTTCTGCAAAACATTCACATTTTAACAACAGCAATAATGTTGTAATACCAAGTTTAGTCACAGACTCATAATATATGTATCAAAAAGATCTGTTGTGTCAACGGGATCCGAACCCCAAGTTAATTGTGCTTTATTTGTGATACATCCTGATTAGAAAAGCAAGTAAGTTATCACCTTTGTTTGATCAAAAGATTAATTGATACAACATAAGAAAGTTATTCGATAATTAAAACATACAACAAATAAATATCAAGATCACACACTAAGGTATTTGAGTTTTATGTTTGATATAGATTGATATGAAAAAGTCTGATTCTGTTTGACTTGCAGGTATCACAGTGCTTCTGGCACTGTCTGTCTACATGAGCATCGTAAGCTCTCTACTGCCCAGCTCCTCACTGACCACACCAAAGCTGACCCTCTACCTCTTTATCCTCCTCATTATCTCCATGCTCACTGTTATCGACAGCATCGTCATTGTCGTACTAGACAATTTAGAGGAGGTATATAGAGTATTTATCAAACTGTTTTTATGATACAACGTGCAGTAATATTTCATCATTTAGATCGTTATACTGTTCATGGCATGAAAATAGTAAAACAGTTAATACCTATTAAATTGCCTCCAAAATGCAGTAATTAATGTTTTAATTTTAAATATTGTTTACACAATTTTTTTTTAAATATTAGGCGTAAAAATATAAATTACGAATTAAACATCAAACATTTTTTTCATGACTCTGGATTCATTATTTCAGAAAGAGCTCGTCCGTCTTAAGGCGCAAGATGAATTTAGATCAGCTTTTAACGAAGTCAAAATCTTACAAAGGGACATTACTCCAGGTTCAAAGATGACAATGGAAAAAATCAATGTCCTACCAAAAGGGAAGCAATCTCTGGCAAACGTCGCGGAAGTGATGTCATTCAATGATGACGTACCGTCGTCTCATTCCCCCACGGAGAAATCAGCCGATGAAGAAAAATATCATGCGACACCACGCAGAAACAAGTACAAGATGATAGGCAAACACATAGACGCCATCTCGTTCGTTGTGTTTTTTGTTATCTGGATCTCAGTGACTCTGGGCTTCTTGTTTGACATCGCTTTCTAGAGTCACAAAAATATCAACTTTTTGATCTATCTGACTCTTGGCAACCTTTGTTAGTGTTTTAAATTAAGATACCACAATTTTAAATGCAACACTACCATTATTAATTTTGCTTTTTATATCAAGGTATTATGCGTTTTGTTGCGTATTATTTTGTGTGGAAACAAACTGCTAATTTATTCACTTATTTTCGGATAAGATTTTATTATGAAAATATATATTACAATTATGGTATTAGTAATCTTGCTTTATTTTTTAGTATACTTTGATGATATTGGCTTGTATCGACAATAGTGGGATAGTGGAAACTGGGTACGAGTGTCGAGAAAAGAAACATTGGGCTAAATCTTTTTCTCTTTCATGCTTATCTCAGGGTAGGGGGAAGGGGAGCAAATTCGTCTACCCCCCTTCCCCTCCCCGCGACTTTATAAAAAATATATATAAATTTGATTTAAAACCCCACCCTTTCTTCCCTGAAAGTTTCAACTGCGCCCCCCCCCCCTATAAATAGGAAAAATATAACTCGAGTTCCCTCCTCAGAGACAAAATGTTTTGAAAGTAACCCAGGGTTGGATAGAGATTTGCAAGTCTGAGGAATGTAGGCGGGAGAAGACATAATTTTTGATAACCTTTCAACAGCCTTAAACACACACAAAAATGGGTTCGTTTTAAATGTGTATCACTACCACAACTATTCACATAATCATAGTTGTCAAGTAAGATTCGTGTACCGTTTTATGTGTATGTTACTATACGTGGTATTTCATTTAGAAACGTTACATTCTACACCAACACACATAGTTTTTAGACGCGATTCTCGGTACTTTATTTCACACCAGTTATGTTTTTAGGTTTTTGATAGATAGTTGAAAATACAAGTGGACTAAGTACAGCTTCAACTTATTAGAATTTAGTTGACATTGCTGGTTGCTGTCTAGACAGTAAAAAACGGTAGCACGAACCCACCCGCGTCTAAAAATAAATATGTATTCACGGGAATAAACTTTAGCCGTAAAATTTAAAAAAAATTGTATAATTACAAATGGCTGCACTCTTTTGACCTCGTTCTGCTCTAGTTATGCCATGGCATAACATAATTTTACTACTGCAACATGCTTGTTGGTTTTGGGAACTAGAATATCACATTTTTTAGCTTTGCACAAAGTCTCAAATTCGACATAGCACCTGTGTTTTAATGGACTGAAATAAAGCAATAAGAAGGATTAAAATGTAAAGAAAAACAATTAATTTAAATATATTTTCTATGATTCCCTTGTATTAAGAAAACACTGTACACGATTGACATGACATTAGAAGTGCTTACGACAAATATTAAGGATCTTCTAGCCAGACACCATCTGAAATAAGGAGTTAAAAAGTGGAACACTCATTCAAGCATCAGCAATAGTAGTAATTAGACATAGAAAATGGAGATGGTAGGACCATATTTATAAAATGAGAGCAAAACTCTTAAATTGGACGGTTCACAGATTGACACCAGATGACAGGAGAAAACGAGGGCGGCCAAAAAAACAAAACATAAAGAAGATCAATGGACAATCAGTTGGAAGCAAGAGGTTATAGCGCTCATTTGTTGGTGCCTCGTGTGCCAATGGGAATGGAGAGGTGATAAAGATAAAAGATTTAAGAAAAAAAAATGGTTTAAATCTTGCTAATCACAACTTTGGTGTGACAAAAATAATTATTTCAGTGTCGACTCGTGTACTCAACAGCCAACAAAAGATGCACAAAAATAAAATATAGCAGGGGATTTATTGTTACATGTTAAAATAAGAGTTGAATAAAATATGATACTGGCTGCTTCATTACGTGATAAAGATGACGGATTTTTTTTTAAAATTGGTTTAAAACCATCCCAACTCGGCTAGCCAATTTAAATGTTTTGTTTTCTGCATTGTAAATTTAGTAGAACTTGGAAAATTTTAATACTTTGATATGATTTGTATTTTACTTGAAAACAATAAACCATTAAGGACACAATAAAGTTCTAGTATATCACCAGTGTGCGTGACATCATTAATTAACAAGATCAAATTAACGACAGCTTTAGAACAACACAAGAGCTCAATTTACAGCTTAAAAACACCATGGTAAATGTGTCTATTTTCTGGAGCGTTTAAGAAATAAAAAGACAATCCAAAATGGTAGACCTCAACCAAAAACTGTAAAGTAAGCTATTGTTTTAAAAAATGGCTTAACATTAAAATTTTCTATACAGAACGTGTTTTGATTATTATTAGTAACATTTTCTTCACAGAAGGTATATGTTTTAAGTAATACTTACAGAATTCTCTGAAAATAAAGGGCACAACCTTCTGAAAGGTGTTGGCCTACTGATGGAGCTTAACCCTTCATTTAGCTCCCCTTTCAAATAGACACATCTAGAGCTCCCATCGAGTATGAATTGATTAAAACGAACCTATTGCTTTGTACAGAGCAACACTATCGACAGACTATTAGAATTTTGAATAAGCTTCTAAATTTAGATTAGGGATTCAAGCAGCTGAAAAGCAAGGGAGTTAAATAAAACTCCATGTTGGTTTCGCTTTCGCTCGTCCCCAAGATAGATAGTGTTGAGAACGCGGATTAGCGTATATAATCACCATATCGTGATCATAGTATAAATATGTACACTCACATTTTGAAGTGTGGTGCAAGTTTATTGGTGGTTTGTTTCTTTTCACACGTTGAGTGCCAGACTTACAATGAGACCATGGATATTTTTAACGACGTGCTGAACAGTGCAAGGTATAACCCAAAGGTCAGCCCGCGGTGGAACCAAACAGCCACGCTGTACGTGAATGTGACGTTTGAGCTGGTGTCTATCGTTGAGTTGGATGATGTCCAGCAGAGTTTTACCTGTAACGGCTTTCTGGGATTTGAGTGGATAGATGAGGTGAGTTACCTATCAACTATCCCTATCCCTATCCCTATCCCTATCCCTATCCCTATCCCTATCCCTATCCCTATCCCTATCCCTATCCCTATCCCTATCCCTATCCCTATCCCTATCCTTATCCCTATCCCTATCCCTATCCCTATCCCTATCCCTATCCCTATCCCTATCCCTAGCCCTAGCCCTAGCCCTAGCCCTAGCCCTAGCCCTAGCCCAAGCCCTAGCCCTAGCCCTAGCCCTAGCCCTAGCCCTAGCCCTAGCCCTAGCCCTAGCCCTAGCCCTAGCCCTAGCCCTAGCCCTAGCCCTAGCCCTAGCCCTGGCCCTAGCCCTAGCCCTAGCCCTAGCCCTAGGCCTAGCCCTAGCCCAAGCCCTAGCCCTAGCCCTAGCCCTAGCCCTAGCCCTAGCCCTAGCCCTAGCCCTAGCCCTAGCCCTAGCCCTATCCCTATCCCTATCCTTATCCCTATCCCTATCCCTATCCCTATCCCTAGCCCTAGCCCTAGCCCTAGCCCTAGCCCTAGCCCTAGCCCAAGCCCTAGCCCTAGCCCTAGCCCTAGCCCTAGCCCTAGCCCTAGCCCTAGCCCTAGCCCTAGCCCTAGCCCTAGCCCTAGCCCTAGCCCTAGCCCTAGCCCTAGCCCTAGCCCTAGCCCTAGCCCTGGCCCTAGCCCTAGCCCTAGCCCTAGCCCTAGGCCTAGCCCTAGCCCAAGCCCTAGCCCTAGCCCTAGCCCTAGCCCTAGCCCTAGCCCTAGCCCTATCCCTATCCCTATCCCTATCCCTATCCCTATCCTTATCCCTATCCCTATCCCTATCCCTATCCCTATCCCTAGCCCTAGCCCTAGCCCTAGCCCTAGCCCTAGCCCTAGCCCTAGCCCTAGCCCTAGCCCTAGCCCTAGCCCTAGCCCTAGCCCTAGCCCTAGCCCTAGCCCTAGCCCTAGCCCTAGCCCTAGCCCTAGCCCTAGCCCTAGCCCTAGCCCTAGCCCTAGCCCTAGCCCTAGCCCTAGCCCTAGCCCTAGCCCTAGCCCTAGCCCTAGCCCTAGCCCTAGCCCTAGCCCTAGCCCTAGCCCTAGCCCTAGCCCTAGCCCTAGCCCTAGCCCTAGCCCTAGCCCTAGCCCTAGCCCTAGCCCTAGCCCTATCCCTAGCCCTAGCCCTAGCCCTAGCCCTAGCCCTAGCCCTAGCCCTAGCCCTAGCCCTAGCCCTAGCCTTAGCCCTAGCCCTAGCCCTAGCCCTAGCCCTAGCCCTAGCCCTAGCCCTAGCCCTAGCCCTAGCCCTAGCCCTAGCCCTAGCCCTAGCCCTAGCCCTAGGCCTAGCCCTAGCCCTAGGCCTAGCCCTAGCCCTAGCCCTAGCCCTAGCCCTAGCCCTAGCCCTAGCCCTAGCCCTAGCCCTAGCCCTAGCCCTAGCCCTAGCCCTAGCCCTAGCCCTAGCCCTAGCCTTAGCCCTAGCCCTAGCCCTAGCCCTAGCCCTAGCCCTAGCCCTAGCCCTAGCCCTAGCCCTAGCCCTAGCCCTAGCCCTAGCCCTAGCCCTAGCCCTAGCCCTAGCCCTAGCCCTAGCCCTAGGCCTAGCCCTAGCCCTAGCCCTAGCCCTAGCCCTAGCCCTAGCCCTAGCCCTAGCCCTAGCCCTAGCCCTAGCCCTAGCCCTAGCCCTAGCCCTAGCCCTAGCCCTAGCCCTAGCCCTAGCCCTAGCCCTAGCCCTAGCCCTAGCTCAGACTTAGCCCTAGCCCTAGCCCTACTTATGTCCATGTTAATGCCCATACCTACATTCCGAAAGATCAATGAAACGTATGTTTTAATATTTAAATATTAAAGTATAATAAATAAAATAAATGTTTATTAAAATTATTTCTTTATTATTAAATATGTGTTAAAAAAAGTTAATTTCATAAAAGAGTATTAATAATAAAATCCGTATAAAACAACTATACTAATAAGTTCTTAAATGCACGGAAAATAATTAATTAATTAAAGAAAACTTGTTATTTTAAAATACAAACACTGGATAGTAAAAAAAAAATATTAGATCTTACGAGCGACCATTACTTGTATAAAAAAAAACAAGTTTCATTTACTTTATTATTTATTTTGAATTCAGTGCCAAAAAAACAATCTATTATTTTTTTTTTTTTTTTATCATTTTTATTAATACCTCATACGAAGAAATATGTTTGCTGTAACAAAAAAACAATAAAAAGCTTGCATTCTCTAGAAGACATTATTTACCCCTTCTTTGCGCTTTGAAAAATAACTAGTGACAAACAATTCACAGTTTTAATATTGCTTATATATAGTTATATGTACACGTTTTGCAATAACTAATTTAGTATCTAATAAGAGGTTCTTACATTGTAATCAAAGACGAATGTGTCTGGAAATCGCAGTGTTAAAATTGGTCTAATTTGAGTTACACAATTCGCAACAAACACAAGAACAAACAAAAATAAACATACATCGTGAACAAAATAAAATCTTGAAATAACGATAATATTTAGATGATAGAATGGGAGAAGGACGATTACGGAGGTCAGGACCTAATACATCCGGTCCCAGAGGACATCTGGATACCACGTGTGGTCATCATGAACACGTTAGGGGACCGGGACCCGTTTGGAGACGACGTAGCGTGAGTATTTCTCTCTTCCACTGAGAAACTGTAGGAAGGAACGGGGCAGGTAGAATAAAAAGAAGTAGTTTAGTATCTTTAAATAATTTTATAACAATAAATTCAAATTCATCAACAGACGATGATATATATTATATTTTTATGGTGAAATATATTTTAAAAATCAATTTAAGTTAAATACCCCCCCCCCTTGCGTTTGCGTTAAAATATCTACCCCCCCCCCCCCCCCCCCCACAGACCCGTGTATGTCTACAGCGATGGTTCAGTATCCTGGGTACCTGGATCACTGTTGACAACTTCCTGTAAACTGGACCTGACAGACTACCCGTTTGACCATCAGATCTGCACAGTGCAGGTAATTGTTTACTGAACAATACAACGTCGTTCAGCATTCAATTAATTTTTCTCCAAGTTTTTTTAACCTAAAATGATACATTGTTTATATAGGTATTTCATAAAACAAATGCTAATAAATTTAGGCAACTAGTGATGTTAGTTTCTAGGTCGAAATCTTAATTTTGTGGAGGTGTTTGCTATTAATAATGAGTTTACGATATCGTTTCATTGAGCAAAGAGAAAAAAGAAAAATATGCATCTTAAATGATTTAATAATACAAATAGACATTATTTTACATCTGTCGTTTCTGTGAAAGGAAAATAGTTCTCAGGGCATATGATTTCATACAATATATCACGGACAAAATGCCTCAGGACAAAATATATCAAGACAAATTATACCGTGGACAAATGATCTCAGATAAAATATCTCACACAAAATATCTCAAACGAAAATATTTAATATATTTAAGACGATTTTAGTCGATGTTAACACTTTTTTTAATTTGTCAGGTGAATTTAATTTGTTTTTTATACACATGATTGTTATGTGTCATTATTAAGTTACATTAGAATATAATACAATTGTCTAGATAGTCCTGATATCTTTTGTCCTAAGATTGTTTGTCCTTGGTATATGTTGTCTGGGATATTTTGTATGAGATCACTTGTCATGGAACCTTTATGCAGGTAATATAATTAAAATGATATATCTGTAATTGTTTTAAAGAGCATCTATATATATAATTCTCTTCTGGGAGCCGTTAAAAAACAAGCTGCAAGCGCGCCTTACAGTCCCCTCTCTTCCTCTCTATCGCTACCACCCCCACCCCCCACCCCCTCACATGGTCTGGTGAGTTGTGGTTCACGCTGTTTACATTTTACAATCATAGATACGGGTTTGGTGACGGCTGTTAGGGGCAGATAATTTAGTTTGAAACGATTTTAAACTTAGAGGAGGTAACTAAGAGGAGGCTGCTTTCATGTGGGGGGGGGGGTTTAGTGTTTTTAAGCAAATATTTTCAGTGGAAGCATTGGTACTGTCGAATTCACAAACTATGAATTGCTGAAAAGTAGAAAATAAAGCAACTAAATAGCGGCGTATGATACGCCGCGGGTCGGCTCGTATCAAAATATTCTTACAGATTGTGGCTATGACCCTCACGACAAAGGAAATGACGTTTACGGCCTCTGTTGACAAAGCTGGGTTGTTATTTTTTACGAGCAACGGCGAGTGGGATTACCTGGGCTCAAACGTTACAGCTTCCCAAATAGAAACAGGATTTTGGAACTTTTCCTCCGTTAATGTAAGTGTAAGACACTGTTACGTACTTATCCTCTTATAAACACTACACTATTTGAAACTTAAAAAGCATCCTCTACATCAGTTTAAAAATCCTATTTAGACCCCGCGATCCAAGTGGAGTTGATGCCACACTTTCACTTTGTATAATATAATGCTTAAAGTTTAAAATGAACTTTTAAATTTGTGTACTTCTTTTGGTGCCTTCTTAGTGTCGGCGCCATAGCCCGCCCTCCCTTAGCTACGCAACTGAATTGGGCAGATAAAGTAGAGTTAATATGTTTTTTGACCTCGGCATATGAAGAGGTGATGTGGTAAGCACTATGCCAAGCCGCTTTTACTTTTAGCAAAATTAGTTAGGTAACTATCAGAGCTGGATCGACTTATGAAAGTTCCACTGACTTGAACCGGATTCGAACTCGAGACTTTCGGGTTAGCGGTATAGATCTCTAACGCTAGGCCAAGCCGTCCCATCTATATCAATGTAATCACTGACATTGTTTTTAAAAATTGACTTTTAACGTTGGACAAGAAATTAAACTGTGCTACAGTCTATGTGCAAGAACTCAACAGGTTTCAGGTTTATAAATATGTCACATTCGTATTTTTGTTTGCGTTTTTTATCCCATTTTAATAAGTATAATGTACTGTTTCTTAGCTATACAAATCTTTTGGGTTTATCAGCTGTGTGGAGAGAGAGGTTCTGCAACATGTTTGCAGTCATTGTGCATGGATTTCCAATGCGTAATCATCCAGTGATCTATTAGACTATGGAGCCATATTATTATACTAGACCAATTGTATTTACCGTGGTGATATCTTTTACAATATATTTTTCAGATACAATTTTTCGTAAAGAGGAGACCCACCTTTCTCCTCATCAACATCATCCTCCCTGTCGTGTTTCTCTCTTTCCTCAATCTGCTCGTCTTCGTCATCCCAGTGGAGTCTGGGGACAAAATCAGCTATGGTGAGTTGTCTAAATTTGTGTGGTTCTAAATCTGGATTCACTCCAAACCCAGGGTTAAGGTGATTCAACCTCCCGGGTTTGGCGGAAGTCAAGAAACACACTAGACTCATATTATTCACAATTGAATTTTGTCAGATGGAACTAATTAGAAGGGTTCGATGATTGCGCATTTGAAACTGATGGGGTTTGGTACCTCTAAAAAGGTTAGAAACCAATCAACCAGATGCATCATATTAATACTAACTTGTCCATGTTTATATCGCGGTGTTTAAAGAAATTTGATATTTCCTGATGATTTGTTAATTTTAAAATAAATTTAACAAAAAAGAGCACGAAGCAAGATATAATTTTAAAAAATATCAATTTTGCCAAACGGGATCCGAACCCACAACTACGCACAACACTGAGTTGTCTCAGCTACCGTGCTTGAGGGCAAACGTTACCTATAGCAATACGTACGACTCAGCTTGCTTGGTAAATGTTTTTTTTTTCAGCAACACAGTTTCGTGATTAAAAGCAAAATACAAAGTCAAGATAAACATTTTACTAAATCCTACACTGCAAGTATGCCACATTACACCAGCTAATTGGTCTATCTTTGTTATATATCTTAAATGAAAAACGAGCATTTTATTACGATTCTTTTTATCAAAATCATTGTTAAGTTACATAAAATAAAAAAATAGTGGCTGAATCAACACACACAACAAATAAATATCAAGATCACACACTAACGTATGTGTGGTTCATGTTTGATATTAATGTATATGAAAACGACTGATATAAGTCCTTTGAAATTCGCTTATGTTTGATTTAAATTGATATAAAAACGGGTGATTCAAGGCCTCTGTATGACTTGCAGGTATCACAGTACTTCTTGCACTGTCTGTCTACATGAGCATCGTCAGCTCCTTACTGCCCAGCTCCTCACTGACCACACCAAAGCTGACCCTCTACCTCTTCATCCTCCTCATCATCTCCATGCTCACCGTTATCGACAGCATCGTCATTGTTGTTCTCGACAATTTAGAGGAGGTATATAGATTTTTAATCAAACTATTTTTATTTTTTGTTACAAGGTGATGTAATGTTCCATCATTTATATCGTTATAGTGTTCATCATATATACATAGTCTAGTAAAAATAAATGCATTTACGAATTTGTATTTTGATTTTAAATATTTTTTATAAATAAGGTTATTTTTTGCTAACTAAGTTTGGCTAACAAAATATGAAAAAAGGATTTTAATATTAAACAAAAAATACTTTATATTTAAGGTTTAAAATTCTTGATATGATTAATCAAAAACAATATATTTCATCAATGTTTTATCAAACCATTATTGCAGAAACAGGTCGTTCATCTCAAGGCTCAAGAAAATTTTCAATCAGCTGTCAGCAAAGTCAAAATCTTACAAAGGGCCGTTACTCAAGTTTCAAATATGACAATGGATAAAATCCATGTCCTATCACAAGGACAGCAATCTCTTGAAAATGTCTCGGAAATGATGTCATTCACCGATGATGTACCGTCGTCTCATTCCCTCACGGAGAAATCAGCCGATGAAGAAAAATATCGTGAGACACCTCGCAGAAACAAGTACAAGATGATAGGCAAACACATAGACGCCATCTCGTTCGTTGTGTTTTTTGTCATCTGGATCTCTGTGACTCTGGGCTTCTTGTTTGACATCGCAGTCTAGAGTCACAAAAATATCAACTTTTGTATCTATGTGACTCTTTGCTTCCTTCGTTTGTGTTTTAAATTAAGATACCACAATTTTAAATTCAAAACTGCCATTATTAATTTTGCTTATAATATCAAGAGAGTAAGCGTTTTCTTTGCTTATTATATTGTGTGAAAACGAACTGCTAATTTATTAACTTTTTGCATAAGATTTTTAATGAGAATATAAATTATTATTTTAGTAGTATTCTTGCTTTATTTTATCTGTACAAATTTAAGTTTGATGTGTATGCTGCTAGACGTGGTATTTCATTTGAAAACTTTACATTCTACACCAACGCACATAGTTTTTGACGCGATTTTTGATACGTTATTTCACCCCCGTTATAAACTTGGGTATTTGATAGTTGAAAACATAAAGTGGACTAAGTAAATCTTCAAAGTATTAGAAATTAATCGACATTGGTGATTGTTGTCTAAAAAGTAATAAAGAGAAGTACGAACCAACTCCTAAAATTAAATATGTGAACAAGCGAATAAATGTTAGCCGTAAAAAAAACAAGCAGATTTATATATGACTACACTCGTTTGGCCTCGTTCAGCTCGAGTTATGCCATGATATAAAATATATTTGTTCCTGCAACATGCTAGCTGGATTAGGGAAGTAGGGTATCAAAGCTTGGTGCGATGTACATAGTCTAAATGTGTCTCTCAATTGTGTTTAGAAGGATGAAAATTTAGCGAAACTAAGGATTAAAATGGACTGAAATTGATATAAGAAAAATCGATTAATTTAAACGTATTTTCTATGTTTTATTTGTATTGAGAAAACCATGAATGCGATCGACAAGAAATGTATAGCTATTCAGAATAAGTGCTTACGACACATATTTAGGTTCTTCAGGCCAAATATCTCAAATGAGGAGTTAAAACAGAAACACTCTTTTAAGCATATACAGTAGTAGCTATTAGACATAGGAGAAGGAGAAGGTGGCACCACATGCTAAAATGAGACCAGAAACATCGGCTAGAATTGATATCAAATGGGCAACACAGGGTAAGAGAAAACGAGGGCGGCCAAAAAAACAACAACAAAAAAGTCAATTGAGAAAAAGTGTAAGGCAAAAGGCCTAACATTCAAACAGGCTGAGGTTATAGCGCTAACTTGTTAATGCCCAATGTGCATCAAGAGTTGATAAAAATAAAAGATGTTTAGAAAAAATGGGTTTAAATCTTGGTAATCACAACTTTGGTGTGACAAAAATAGTATTTCATTGTCGACGAGTGTACTCAACACCCATCAAAAGACGCACACAAATAAAATATAGTTGTTGATTTATTGTTAAATGTTAAAATAAGTGTTGAATAAAATATGATACTGCTTCGGTAAGTGTCTGGATCAATGTCCATGTACAGAGGATTTTAAAGAAGATCTACAAACGTGACATATAGTTCCTGTGTGTCACGAAGATCAACAATGCCAAAGATGACACGTACCATTATTTAAACGACATTAAAAATTCAAGGGCAATATCAAACGTACTAAATATTATCTGAAACGTTTTTAAGTAATGAAACTCGGCTAGCTATTTTAAATGTTTTGTTTTCTTCATTTTAGTAAAAAGTATCTAATATTAAAACTTAAAAACGATTTGTATTTTACAATTGAAAACAATAAACACAGTCGGGGAGGGCGCACACTGAAGTTCGAGTGTATCACAAATGTGGTTGATATTTTTAATTTGCTTGCTTAAAGTAACGACAGCGTCGTATCCGATATCTGCAACCGTAGAATGCGTGATACAAAAGTATAGCTCTCTTATATAACACAAACATACACTATAGTAGATGTGTCTATTTTTTGGTGCATTTAAGAATTTAAAAACTACCCATAATGATAGACCTCCACCTAAAACTGCATAAGTTTTATTTTTTAAATGGATTACATTTTTCGATGCATAAGATGTTTTGATTAATTTTTATAAAATTGTATTCAAAAAAGGAAAGTGTTTTAAATATTTTTCAAACATAATCTCTAAAAAATCATAAAAAATGTTTTAATAGCAAGCCTTTATGTAATAATGCACTAAAAAGTAGAAAATAAATTATACACTACTATTTAAAGAACTATAAAGAAAAGCGTGGGTCATTTTAGTATCTATTGGATACCTTTACCATTATTTAGGAACGTAATGACGCGTGTATAATAGTGCGGAATAATTGGATGAGAAAGCCTACTAATTTGAACAAAATTTTAATTAATTCATAAAAAATTATTTAGTAATCTAATTAAGTCAAATTTAATGTCAGATTGCATTGTCTTCATATCTTGACCCACGTGCCAACGTTGATCGAATCTGTCATTTTGAAGTGTCCGAAATTTCACTTGGGCGTTTCCATCTGGACAAACAGACAGACAGAGGAAGCAAGTTAAATAAAAGCATGTAAAAAGGCGCAATGCTCTGAAACAGTGTTGGTCTGCTAATCGAGCTGAACCCCTTAATACTTGCCTGCAGTGTATCTGCATCCACAGCTCCCATTTAGACTTCATTGATTCAAAACAAACCTATTGCCGTGTACAGACCTATCCTAGCGCTCGACTATTACAATTCTGAATACCTTTTTAAATTTAAATTAGAGATTCAAGCAATTGAAAAGCAAGAGAGCTAAATAAGACTCTATGTTGGTTTCGCTTTCGCTCGCCCCAAAGACAGATGGTGTTGTGAACGCAGATTAGCGTACATAATCACCCAATCGTGGTCACAGCATAAACATGTACAGTCACATTTTAAAGTGTGGTTTTAGTTTATTAATGGTTTGTTTTTACTCAAACGTTGAGTGCCAGACTTACAATGAGACCATGGATATTTTTAACGACGTGCTGAACAGTGCCAGGTATAACCCAAAGGTCAGCCCGCGGTGGAACCAAACAAATACGATGTGCGTTGATGTGACATTTGAGCTGGTGTCTATCGTTGAGTTGGATGATGTCCAGCAGAGTTTTACATGTAATGGCTTTCTGGGATTTGATTGGGTAGATGAGGTGAGTTACCTTCCACCTAGCTTTGATTTCAGTTTATACTATCAATACAAAACATGCCTTCCTACCCTTACCCTTACTTTTGCCCTTAACCTTAACTTACTTTTGCCCTTAACCTTACCCTTACTTTTGCCCTTAACCTTAACCTTAACCTTAACCATAACCTTAACCTAAACCTTAACCTTAACCATAACCTTAACCTAAACCTTAACCTTAACCATAACTTTAACCTTAACCTTAACCTTAACCTTAACCTTAACCTTAACCTTAACCTTAACCTTAACCTTAACCTTAACCTTAACCTTAACCTTAACCTTAACCTTAACCTTAACCTTAACCTTAACCTTAACCTTAACCTTAACCTTAACCTTAACCTTAACCTTAACCTTAACCTTAACCTTAACCTTAACCTTAACCTTAACCTTAACCTTAACCTTAACCTTAACCTTAACCTTAACCTTAACCTTAACCTTAACCTTAACCTTAACCTTAACCTTAACCTTAACCTTAACCTTAACCTTAACCTTAACCTTAACCTTAACCTTAACCTTAACCTTAACCTTAACCTTAACCTTAACCTTAACCTTAACCTTAACCTTAACCTTAACCTTAACCTTAACCTTAACCTTAACCTTAACCTTAACCTTAACCTTAACCTTAACCTTAACCTTAACCTTAACCTTAACCTTAACCTTAACCTTAACCTTAACCTTAACCTTAACCTTAACCTTAACCTTAACCTTAACCTTAACCTTAACCTTAACCTTAACCTTAACCTTAACCTTAACCTTAACCTTAACCTTAACCTTAACCTTAACCTTAACCTTAACCTTAACCTTAACCTTAACCTTAACCTTAACCTTAACCTTAACCTTAACCTTAACCTTAACCTTAACCTTAACCTTAACCTTAACCTTAACCTTAACCTTAACCTTAACCTTAACCTTAACCTTAACCTTAACCTTAACCTTAACCTTAACCTTAACCTTAACCTTAACCTTAACCTTAACCTTAACCTTAACCTTAACCTTAACCTTAACCTTAACCTTAACCTTAACCTTAACCTTAACCTTAACCTTAACCTTAACCTTAACCTTAACCTTAACCTTAACCTTAACCTTGACCTTGACCTTGACCTTGACCTTAACCTTAACCTTAACCTTAACCTTAACCTTAACCTTAACCTTAACCTTACCTTAACCTTAACCTTAACCTTAACCTTAACCTTAACCTTAACCTAACCTTAACCTTAACCTTAACCTTAACCTTAACCTTAACCTTAACCTTAACCTTAACCTTAACCTTAACCTTAACCTTAACCTTAACCTTAACCTTAACCTTAACCTTAACCCTTAACCTTAACCTTAACCTTAACCTTAACCTTAACCTTAACCTTAACCTTAACCTTAACCTTAACCTTAACCTTAACCTTAACCTTAACCTTAACCTTACCTTAACCTTAACCTTAACCTTAACCTTAACCTTAACCTTAACCTTAACCTTAACCTTAACCTAACCTTAACCTTAACCTTAACCTTAACCTTAACCTTAACCTTAACCTTAACCTTAACCTTAACCTTAACCTTAACCTTAACCTTAACCTTAACCTTAACCTTAACCTTAACCTTAACCTTAACCTTAACCTTAACCTTAACCTTAACCTTAACCTTAACCTTAACCTTAACCTTAACCTTAACCTTAACCTTAACCTTAACCTTAACCTTAACCTTAACCTTAACCTTACCTTAACCTTAACCTTAACCTTAACCTTAACCTTAACCTTAACCTCAACCTCAACCTCAACCTTAACCTCAACCTCAACCTTAACCTTAACCTCAACCTTAACCTTAACCTTAACCTTAACCTTAACCTTAACCTTAACCTTAACCTTAACCTTAACCTTAACCTTAACCTTAACCTTAACCTTAACCTTAACCTTAACCTTAACCTTAACCTTAACCTTAACCCTTAACCTTAACCTTTAACCTTTAACCTTTAACCTTAACCTTAACCTTAACCTTAACCTTAACCTTAACCTTAACCTTACCTTAACCTTAACCTTAACCTTAACCTTAACCTTAACCTTAACCTTAACCTTTACCTTAACCTTAACCTTAACCTTAACCTTAACCTTAACCTTAACCTTAACCTTAACCTTAACCTTAACCTTAACCTTAACCTTAACCTTAACCTTAACCTTAACCTTAACCTTAACCTTAACCTTAACCTTAACCTAACCTTAACCTTAACCTTAACCTTAACCTTAACCTTAACCTTAACCTTAACCTTAACCTTAACCTTAACCTTAACCTTAACCTTAACCTTAACCTTAACCTTAACCTTAACCTTAACCTTAACCTTAACCTTAACCTTAACCTTAACCTTAACCTTAACCTTAACCTTAACCTTAACCTTAACCTTAACCTTAACCTTAACCTTAACCTTAACCTTAACCTTAACCTTAACCTTAACCTTAACCTTAACCTTAACCTTAACCTTAACCTTAACCTTAACCTTAACCTTAACCTTAACCTTAACCTTAACCTTAACCTTAACCTTAACCTTAACCTTAACCTTAACCTTAACTTTAACCTTAACCTTAACTTTAACCTTAACCTTAACCTTAACCTTAACCTTAACCTTAACCTTAACCTTAACCTTAACCTTAACCTTAACCTTAACCTTAACCTTAACCTTAACCTTAACCTTAACCTTAACCTTAACCTTAACCTTAACCTTAACCTTAACCTTAACCTTAACCTTAACCTTAACCTTAACCTTAACCTTAACCTTATCCTTTTCTTTTTTTCTTATCTTTAACCTTAAATTTAAGCTTAAACTTAATCTTAACCTGAACCTGAATCTGAACTTTTTGCTGAAAATGGCATGGCACTTCGCACCTGTTAAAAGGCTACCTGTTAAATTTTAAGAACATTGATTTTTAACCGTCGAAGACCTTTTGTCATTACGATTCGAATTTCTCTTTCTTTGAGTTTTTTTTTTTTTTTGTTTTACTCATGCACTTAATATTCAATGGAATTTTGCAAAATAAATTTGCAAAGCCCAATTACAAAGTAAATACCCCGTGTCACTCAGTAAATACAAACCAAGAACAAAAGTGAATGCATTGTTCCTCATTGACGTATTTGCTTTGTGCACATCAGCAATGTGACACATTTTAATCCGAAGTCCTAATTAATAAAAGACTCATCTATTTTAAAACAGTTTAGTATTGATTTTAAAGGAATTTTTAAATATTTGTTTTTTTTTTATTTGTGTGTGTCGTCTAAAACGGAAGAAATTAAAAAAATAAATTTATCGATTGAGTTACTTTTCTTTTATGGCTAAAATGAAGGAATCATGCAAGTCAATTAATTGATTAATCTCGTTTATATTATATTTCTCAGAATCTTGTATTTTCCAGCAGTAGCGTAGCTAGTATTTTTGGCCCGCTATGCAAAAATTATCAGTGGTTCCCTTCTACAGCCGTTAGGCTACAATGAAGTTAAACGAAAAAATCAACTGCTACTTACAAAGTAGGATTTAAAATATAAATATTCTGTATATTTTGTATTTTATACATCTTGATTGTGTATATATACTATATTATTATGTAGGCCTACTACCCCGTAGTTTTGTAAAAATGTTACAGGCTTTCAGTTATTTTTAAGTAACCAATCACAGTGGCATCACAAGGTGGGTGCAAAGATCCACTCCTGATGACAACATTTAGGCGTGACAAAACTCGTTTGTATCCAGCTAAAATAATCAAAGTTTAGTGAGAGAAGGCTAACATCCCACACAAAATGCAAAATAGTTGGTGGACGATGGGGGTAACACTTTTTGTAAACGCGTAGGGTAACACTCGACCTTATGACGCCACTAACCAAACACATTTTTTTTTAAATGCCCATGTTTTATTTACATTTTTTTTCTCATGCTTTTGAACTTGAAAAATAATTATTAAGTTCATTTAGATTTATTAAAGCAGCTTCTGTATGTTCGATACTTAGGATGGCCAAGATACTGGCACAATTGACATATTTTCAATTTGTTTCATAACAAATTTAAATCATCAGAATGAGGAAATTATGTTATTTTAAAATTCACTCATAGACATCAAAATCCCCTTTCCAATCACCGTGGAATGTTAAAAAAATGTTTATACTAAGTAGCCTTATTTTTTTAGTTTTAGTGCATTATTCCATAACAGCTTGTTATTTAACGTTTGTAAGAATTTTTTTTCGATGTGTACTCAAAGATCAAACATTTGCAAAAATATCGATATATTAGCACACTGAACGACAAATGATTTATTGATTAATTGATTTTTTTTAACTGGCAAGGTTCATTTTTTAATCAAATAGAATATTATGTATAGCTGTTTCAATATTAAAATCTAAAATATAATAATTAAAATAAATGTCTTTCTGAACTACTTATATTTATTTACTATTAAGTATATATTTAAAAAAGGTTTAATAAATTAAGTATTAAATAAAATATAATAATAAGTATTTTAATGAACGGAAAATTATTAATTAAATTAGGAAAACTTGTTTCCTATAACAAAAAAACATTGTTAAAAAATAACTATAAGATCTTAAGAGCGGCCAATGCTTATATTAAAAAAAACAAATTTAATTATTTTTTTTTAATAAAAAAAAATTCCACACACAAAAAATATATATTTGCTTTAAGACCCGATCAAAAGATTGCAATCTCTAAAAGACATCCGCCCATTCTATACGCCTGTTGAAACCAACTACAGTGATTAGCAGTTCACCGTTGTTAACACGCTGTTTGGGTAATTGCTTAAGATTAAATCGGTTAATATCTTCACTTTTAATATATATTAATATTTACACCTTTTGAAATAACTAATTTAGTATCTATTGAGAGGTTCGTACATATTCGTCGAGGACTAATGTGTCTGGAAATGTCATTAAAACTAGGTTCAAATCGAGTTACAAAATTTGCAACAAACCCACGAACCAACCAAAATTGAAAGATATTGTGAACTAAATAAAAACTCAAAATAACGATTCTATTTAAATATGTAGATGATAGAATGGGAGAAGGACGATTACGGAGGTCAGAACGTGATACATCCGGTCCCAGAGGACATCTGGAGACCACGTGTGGTCATCATGAACACGTTAGGGGACCGGGACCCGTTTGCTGACGACGTCGCGTGAGTAGTTTTCTCCTTTTTCTGAGAAACTGTAGAAAGGAACGGGGCTGGTAGAATAAGGCGGAATAGTTTAGTATCTTTAAATCATTTCATATCAATAAATACAAATTCATAAACAGATGCTGTCAGAAATACTGTGTGTTAAAATAAGTTATTTTAAATTAAATCACCCCCCCCCCCATTTTGTGCTTGTGTTAAAATAATAAACCCCTCCCCCCCCCCAGACCCGTGTATGTCTACAGCGATGGTTCAGTATCCTGGGTACCTGGGACACTGTTGACAACTTCCTGTAAACTGGACCTGACGGACTACCCGTTTGACCATCAGAGCTGCACAATCCAGGTAATTGTTTAATGAACAAGACAGCACCTTAATGCAATCTTTTTTTTTTCCCAACATCATTTTTTTAAACTTAAAATGTTACACTGTTTATATTGATATTTCGTAAACTAAACACTAATACATTCAGGCATCTAGTGAAGTTTGTTTCTAGGTCGATATCTTAACTTTAGGAAGACGGTGTTTGATATTAAGAACGAGCTATCGTTTCATTGAGCAAAGAGAACAAAGTAAAAAAAAAATGCAGCTTAATTAAAATATTGGATAATAATACAATAGGCGAGAAAAGTGTATGTATTCATACCAAGTTGTTTTTTTTTTGTTAAATCTTATAAAAAGTATAGCAAGAGGTCAAATTATGGTTACATTTAAAAAAAATTAAAGCCGTTTTGGAAACCTGCGATTACACACATTTTCATAATTTTGTATTGAATTCAAACCGTTGATAAGTCATTTAGAATTATTATATCAATCCAAATATTTTTAAAAACCACCTACTCTTAAAAACCACCTACTCTCTTCCTTGAAGTCAACCTGAATAGACAGTGAAAGTCAAACGAAGAAAATTACTAGTGTTTTTCATGATAAAATACACAATAGCGGTCAATGGTGTATAGCCAAGTAGTTTATTTAAATTACATAATACAGGGGTTCCCAACCCCGTGCCCGCGGGCGCCATGGCGCCCGCCGAACGATTCGTGTGTGCCCGCCTCTCACTATTCGACAGAGACAGAATTTTTTTTTTTCATAAACATTATTGAAAGGTTGAAGGGGATGGTTTGTGGGGGAGGGGGTGCAAATCGAAAGTTTGAGGGGGGGGGGTGCAAATTGAAAGTTTGACGGGGGGGGGGGGGTGGGGGGGTGCAAATCGAAAGTTTTGTCCCCGGGTGTCGTGACGGGTCGCTACGCCTCTAGAAGGAGTTTGTCGATTTAAAATAGGTGGTGCCCGCCACCAAACCGATATTTTAGAATGTGCTCTAGAGTAAAAAAAGGTTGGGAACCCCTGACATAATATAACATCCCACAACACACTGACTACTAAATAAAACCATTATCTAAGTTATTATTATATTACTAGTAGTTATTTGTTGAATAATTCTAGCCTTAATAAAACCGGAAGTCATTCTGTACTTATTTCTCAAATATTATAAAATATTCAGTTTTGGTTGAAACCATTTGGAACTGGCTTTTTAAGCCTATTAGACTATATATATATATATATATATATATATATATATATATATATATATATATATATATATATATATATATATATATATATATATACATATAAAGAAAAGTGGTCGGGTGCTCGATCGGGCACTACCCGGCTCCTGCCTTGGGGAAATAGAACACGGGGCCGGTGACGGTTGGCCGCAAAGTTAACGATGAGGGGTCGAAATTGACCTCGACTAACCGGCGCTTTATGAGCTATATATCGAAAAATAATTTCTCATAAAAGGAACTTCTTCACAACTCCTGAGGTCGTAGACCGACCCCCGGGGTGGCAAAAAATTGTTTTCACTATAAAACATTGTTAGTTTGGTAAAAAACGATGACTATTTTCAAAACAATGTTTTGGAACTATGGCTCTTTACATCTGGCTAATTTTTTTTTCCATAAACCTTGGTAAAAGAATCGGCTTTTTGGATAAACTATCGGTCAGCCTCTGCTTGCAAGGCGAGGGCTAAAAGTGACCATGGCTGAAATTCTTCTTAAATGAGTTGTACATCAGCCCCTGTGGGTCAGGAAAAAAAATAGTGCTACCCTCCGGAAAACCCCGTAACAATGTTTTAACAGACCAGAGGCCATATTTCCCAATATAAGGATAGTACAATTTTTGTAAAAAAAAAATTCATATATCTGGACGTACAAAACCATTCACAACTCCTGAAGGCGTAGGAAAACCCGCGATGGTCACTATAAAAGAGGCGTTATCTTCGGGAAAACTTCAGAATCGCTTTAGAACTGGGTCCAAATTCTCTATATAAACATTGTTATTTTGGTGAAAAACGATGACTATTTTCAAAGCAATGTTTCGGAACTTTGGCTCTGTAAATCTGGCTCATTTTTTCCATAAACCTGGGTAAATGAATCGGTTTTATGGATATAGTATATGACAGCCTCTGCTCGCGCGGCGTGGGCTAAAAAGTGACCACGAGTGAAATATATCGAAAAAAAAAATCCCACATAGGAACCAATCACTTGTTAATTAAGCATTAAAATTCTCAAATGCTTTGAAAACTTAATCGAAGCTAGGCAGTAAGCCTAGTTTGTACATAGATTTATTGAAGCAACATCTGTCTTTTCTGATCCAGGGAATTTAATTAAAATGCTATACCTGTAATTGTTTTAAAGTGTACGTCAAATTATTCTTACAGATTGTAGCTATGACACTCACGACAAAAGAAATGTCGTTTACGGCCTCTATTGACAAGGCTGGCGTCTTATTTTTTACGACCAACGGCGAGTGGGATTACCTGGGCTCAAACGTTACAGCTTCCTATATAGACACGGTGTTTTGGAACTTGTCCTCTGTTGATGTAGGTTTTAGATATAATATTACTATTAATATTAATATTTTTATAATATAAAAACAAATGTTTACATCGGTGTACATAATCCTCTTTAGACCTAGCTATCCATTTGGCCAGAGGTGTAGCGACCCAATCGGACGCCGGGGTAGAACTATCAATTTTGTCCCTGCCTCCCATTTAAATTATATTTATTCATGTTAGTGAATAAACGCCCCCCACGCCCCCCTCATTGAAAAGTTTTTGGCGCTTTTTGCCAGTCAATAGTTTTTACTTTGGTGCCACACATTGACTGATTCAGTACTTAAAGCTCAAATTTAGTTTTAATTTTTTTACACCTTTTGCCGCCCCCTTAGAGACGCCACTGAATAGAGCAAATGAATTAGAGCTCCTATGTTTCTTGACCTTGGCAAGCACTATGCCTAGCCGCCTTTACTTTCAGTATAGTTATTTAGATACCTATCAGAGCTGGGTGGACTCATGGACGTTCCAATGAATACATTCCGGATTCGAACTCGAGACTTTCTGGTAAACAGTCTAGAGCTCTACCATTAGGCACGCCGTCCAACCTACATTGATGAATCACAGGTATGGCTTTTAATTTGATATTAAATATTGACTTTTAACGTTAGACCAGCAATTAAATTGTGTTACAGTACCTGTGCAAGAGCTCAACTTGACCCTTTCAGATTGAAAAATATATCACATTGATATTTTGTTTAACGTTTTTGTTTTAGCTTAGTGTAAAGTTTTGATCTCATTATAATAAGTATAATGTGCTGATCCCTAGTAGAACATGTAATGTCATGTCTCTTGAGTCCATCAGCTGTGTGGAGAGAGGTTCTAAAACCTGATCAGCATCTTTCTTATCATCCAGTGGTCTATTAGTAAATGGAGCCATATTATTATACAGTACCGTGGTGATAGCTTTTACAACATTGTTTTCAGATAACGTTTTTCGTGAAGAGGAGACCCACCTTTCTCCTCATCAACATTATCCTCCCTGTCGTGTTTCTCTCTTTCCTCAATCTGCTCGTCTTCGTCATTCCAGTGGAGTCTGGGGACAAAGTCAACTATGGTGAGTTGTCTTCATTTTGCCAGTGGTTCTAAACCTGGGTCCGATTGAAACACAGGGGTTAGGTGAGTCAGTCTCAAGGGTTTGGCGGAAATTAAAACGCACACAAGACTCATAATATTCGCGATAGGATTTTGTCAGATAGAACTATTAAGTAGGTTTCGGTGATTGCGCATTTTAAACTGGTTGGGTTCGGTACCTATTAAAAATATTAAGAACATCTGAACCAGATACATTATTTTAATGCTAACTTGGTAATGGTAAAATCGCAGTGTTTAAAGATAATTTAATATTTCCTGATGTTTTATACAATTTATTTTAAAATATACTTAACGGAATAAGCACGATGTACGCTACATTTCATAACGGCAATATAGTACTCTATATTTCTTTAAAATTTTCTGCGACCCGTCAACTATTTTATAAACAGCAATATCATTTCAATACCAAATGTAGTCACAGGCTCATTTTATATTTATCAAAATGAGCATTTTTTCGAGATGGGATCCGAACCCACAACTACACATGACACTGAATTGTCTCGGCTACTGTGTATGAGGTCAGAAGTATAAAATCTAAGACCAGATAGCTCTAAAACTAAGCGCGTCAAGTTTGACTGAGCTTGCTTGGTAAAAATGGATTGTTCTTGAACACAGTTTCGTGATTAAAAGCAAAACCTGCACTGCAAGTATGTCAAAACTACACCAGCTAATTTTGCTTTCTTTATGTTATATCTTGATTTGAAAAGCGAGTAGTTTATGATATTTAAAAAATCAAAATCATAATTATGTGAGTAAACATAAGAAATAATAGCTGAATTAAAACATTTATCTAATAAATATCAAGATAAAAAACTAGTGTATGTGTGGTTTATGTTTAATATAAATGTATATGAAAACGGGTGATTTGAGGCCTCTGTATGACCTGCAGGTATCACAGTACTTCTGGCACTGTCTGTCTACATGAGCATGGTCAGCTCTCTACTGACCAGCTCCTCACTGACCACACCAAAGCTGACCCTCTACCTCTTCATCCTCCTCATCATCTCCATGCTCACCGTTATCGACAGCATCGTCATTGTCGTACTAGACAATTTAGAGGAGGTAAAAAATTATTTATCAAATTGTTTTATTGAAACAAGGTGCAGTAATAGGCCATCATGATATGAACATAGTAAAACAATAATTAGTTCATCGAATGCAAAATGCATTTACGAATTCTTAATTGGATTTGAAATATTTTTCAATAAATCCGGTTAAATTTTGTTAATTAAGATTGGCTAACAAAATATAAAAATTCATTAAAATATTAAATAAAATACTGTATATGTATGGTTTTAAAATTTTGAAATGATGAATCAAAAACAATGTATTCAATCTATTTTTAGAATGAATATCAAACCATTATTGCAGAAAGAGGGCGTTCATCTCAAGGCTCAAGAAAATTTTCAATCAGCTGTCAGCAAAGTCAAAATCTTACACAGGGCTGTTACTCCAGTTTCAAATATGACAATGGATAAAATCCATGTCCTACCACAAGGAAAGCAATCTCTTGTGAACGTCTCGGAAGTGACGTCATTCAATGATGATGTAACGTCGTCTCATTCCCCCACGAAGAAATCAGCTGATGAAGAAAAATATCATGCGACACCACGCAGAAACAAGTACAAGGTAATAGGCAAACACATAGACGCCATCTCGTTCGTTGTGTTCTTTTTCATCTGGATCTCTGTGACTCTGGGCTTCTTGTTTGACATCGCTTTCTAGAGTCACACAATCATCAATATTTCGGATCTTTGTGACTCTTGGCTTTCATCGTTTGTGTTTTAAGTACCACAGTTTCAAATGCAACACTGCCATAAAATTAATTTTGCTTTTAGCGCGCTTTTAGTATCAACAGATTATGCGTTTTTTTCTACTTTTTTTATTAATATTCTTGCTATATTTTATTTGATTTATGAAAGTTTGCTTTCAACGACAATAAAAGCCATACGTTTTTCAATTTGTATTAAACATTATTAAATAACAGCCAACTATTTATTATTTATTTCCTTCTTCACACGCCTTTATAAGGATTCTGCAGAGCATCGCGGGCTCTATTGTAAGCACTGTAGCAAATATGGTCATTTTAAAGAGAGCCATACACTATAAAATCGTTATGCTACTATAATCGTTGACGAAATCGAACCAGTCACATCGGCCGACGTCCCAGTAGTAGAGGTTTACAGCAGCTACTTGAGCACATGCTCTGACCAGATGGTTGGTATGCGAGGCAATTTGGTGCTTTGTGTGGTGGGGTGTTCAGATCACGTCTTTTCTATATTGTAATTTCACTAATGCTTCCGCCATCCATCCCGTTTTCGAGGTATATATAAAAAACCAACACTTTTAATTCACATACAAATAACGAACTCATCAAGGTTTCTTGTTGCTGGCATAACATGAAACCCAATGCTTCCTCCTGTCCCACTGCCAATTAACTAATTGTTCCTTATGTCTAGTCTACTACGTCGATCTGTATTTGTCGCTTTATGCTCACACAAGACATATATTAAACAAACAAAAGAAAAGCAGGTTAACTTTGAATACGAACTAATCCTTTAACTTCCTTATCAAGTTGACTAGAATCTTCCATCATTGTTGTTAAAATGGATGAAAATTCATGTTTTAATTTTTATATTTTTTGCAATCAAAGTGACCCTTAAAAATGTACGAAATTTAATTTTTTTAGAATCAATTCTATAAAAGTTGCAAATCCATAGAAGTTAAAAATAACTTTTAACAGTTGTAAGACTACATTTCTATTTATTATCAGACCTATGCTATAGCTTCCACTTTTAATTTCGGATACCAAACATTGATTTGCTGTGTAGGAACTCCGTAATCGGTATTCTGAAAATCCAACTTTTTTAAAAGCTCTTTTTTTATTCAAAATTTTAACGATTTTTTAAAAAAAAATATTTTAAACCCCATTACTTAGTTTAGCCATTTTTAAATTTCAATAATGTGATAAATGTAAACAGTCAACTTGTTTTTGGTTTTTGAAAAAAAGCAGTTTTTTTAGTGAAAAATACTAAAAACTTCTTTTAACACCAATCTTAGAAAGGGCCAACAAAAACCGAATAGTAAGATTTTATAACCATACTTTATTTAATTACATGATCTTTTTAGTGGGTCTTTCGAAAAATTTTGAGACTATTTCCGTTGGGTCTATTGTCCATTTTTCTCCATTGTTAGCCCGTTCACATTAATCTACGCAATTACAGCTACAAAGTTACTTCTGTTCAACATTCATGCAGAAAGCACCAAGGTTATGAGAACTTAACATTCATGGACCCAGCTAGCAACATAGATTCAAATTGTGAAATAGGCCTGCATTGACGACATCATAAAGCAAAAAGACTGAACTGACGCTGCAATCGAATTTATGATCCAATACATAAGTGTATGTGTTAGAATAAATATTCACAGCGCAGTAAAAATAAAAATAAACAATGTCAAAGAGAAATAAAATAAAAAAACTAGCCCAATTCGATTATTGGTGTATTGATTAAACTAAACATTTTATTTTGTTAAATAATTAGTAGCGTACTTTTTAATCAAACCAAAAAAAAAAAATCTAAATTTCTTTAACGTAAACTTTAATTAGATTATTTAAAATTTTATAAAAATCTTAGTAGACTTACAATAATTTAGAAAAGCTTTAGTTAATTTAACATAGTTCACAAATTACGCTCAGCGGTGTCGCTAGACCGGGTGTTATCCGGTGTAACACTTCATGGTGTAACCTTCCACACCCTACAAACAAGGGAAAAAATTATATATATATATATATATATATATATATATATATATATATGTTATGTGAATACAAAGTGCTAATTTATTAACTAACTTTAGTGTAAGATTTCATAATGAGAATAATAATAATTATTATTTTTATACAATATTTGTATAAATGTATGAAAGTTTGCTTCCAACGTCAATAACACATAGAACTAATAAATAATTGACGAATTTTGTCAATGTTTTTACTAGCCAAATAGACTTCACCTCTATAGCCTATATCAACATTTGCAGGGAACAAAAACAGTATAAAAACAAGATCAATGCTACAAAAGACAGATACTTGCTTTCAAAATGATTTTTAACGTGATCAAATAAAAGCCAAAATTGTATTATTTAATTCCTTTTTCATGGACCGAACTAGCAACATAGTTTCAGTTTGTTAAATACACTAATGACATCATAACGCAGAAGGTGGAATCGACGCTCATATCGAATTTAAGATCGAAGACGAAGTGTATCTGTAAAAAAACTCAGAGAACTGTGAAGGTAAAGATAAATAATGTCTTGGAGAAATTTAAAAAAAAACTAGCCCAAATTTCAAATCATTAAGACTACCTGTCATAAGTTTGTGATATTTAGTGATGGGGTTTCTTTAACGAATGCTTTTAACTTCTTTTTGGTCTTTATTCATAACGCGTCGGAACTTGAGAACGAAATTTATCCCAATTCCGACGAACTCATTTGTTTTAAACTTGACACATAGGTCGCGATTAGAAGTTAATCAATTTAACTTGAATTTTGAGCTATTGGAATCTATAGTTAGAGTTTATTTTTTATGAATTCGATATGATTTTTAAAACAATAATATATATAAAAAAAGAAAAATATTAACAATGCTTTTGATATGCACTGAAAGTTAACACGTAATATTTAATTGTGTTGGAGGGAAAACATAACGGATTTCTTTAAATTTACTGTATTTTTATAAGGCTTATATAACTATATATTAGCTCGCTATACTTTAAGAAATATTTTCCATCTTCTATTTTCTAATGCATGTATAAAAGTCTGTTATACTAAACGTTTTTGTTAGTATTATTTTATTTTATATGATTGGTATATAAATTGTTAAAGACAAAAAAAAATTAAAATAATTAAAAAAAACATTCTCCTTAGTTTCCCTGTACACTCCACTGCATCGTTTCCACTTACGGTGACGCCGCTGATTTAAACTAAACAAAATATACGGAGCAATCTTGAGTTCGACTATTGAAATTTTGAGTAAGATTCTAAATTTAGGTTAAGCGTATAAATGTTAGCGAAATAAGAACTGCTGGGTAACACACGATAAGAGTTTCGTTTGCGCTCACAATAAATTTGAACTTGTTGTGAACGCGGGTAATTTAATGACTTAACTGTGGAAAAACATGAATATATATAGTTATATTTTGATAAGTGGTTTAAGTGTAATGGTTTTTGGTTTCTTTTCATGCGTTCATGGAAAGAGTTACAACGACACAATGGTTCTTTTTAACGACGTCCTAAACAGTGCCAAATACAACCCAAAGATTAGGCCACTGGTGAACCAAACAGCGACCCTTGATGTTAGTGTAATGTTTGAGCTGATGTCGGTGGTTGAGCTGGATGACGTCAAGCAGAGCTTTACATGTAACGGTTTTCTGGGATTTGGCTGGGTAGATGAGGTAAGTTTTCTCTGGTAACTATTTATTTTATAAAAATATAACCAATATCTTATATATATATATATATATATATATATATATATATATATATATATATATATATATATACATATATTATATATATATATATATATTTATATATATATGTATATATTTATATTTATATATATATATGTATATATATATATATGTATATATATATATATATATATATATATATATATATATATATATATATATATATATATATATATATATATATATATATATATATATATATATATATATATATATTAATATATATATATGTATATATATATATATATATATATATATCTATATATATATATATATATATATATATATATATATATATATATATATATATATATATATATATAAATATATTTATATATATATATTTATATATATATATTTATATATATATATATATATATATATATATATATATATATATATATATATATATATATATATATATATATATATATATATATATATATATATATATATATATATATAAGAAGAAAGAGAGAGAGAGAGAGAGAGAGACGGAAAGAGACAAACTTGTTACTGAAAGCCCAAGTTTTTCCTTAACATATTTGTAAACAAACGTGTTCAATACCATTCAAATATTATCTACAATTCGATTATTGGTTTTTTGATTAAACTAAACATTTTATTTTGTTAAATAATTAGCAGCGTACTTTTTAATCAAACAATAAAAAATCTAAATTTCTTTAACGTAAACTTTAATTAAAATTATTTAAAATTTTATAAAAAATCTTAGTAGACTTACAATGATTTAGAAAAGCTTTAGTTAATTAACATAGTTCACAAATTACGCTCAGCGGCGTCGCTAGACCGGGTGTTATCCGGTGTTGCACTTCATGGTGTAACTTTCCACACCCTAAACACAAGTGAAAAAAGTATATATATATATATATATTTATATATATATATATATATATATATATATATATATATATATATATATATATACATATATATATATATATATATATATTTATATATTTATATATATATATATATATATATATATATATATATATATATATATATATATATATATATATATATATATATATATATATATGTTACGGTCAAAGCCTGAAGTTGGCCAATGCGCGGATTGGCCGGCCAATGCGCGCATTGTCCAATATCGCCTCCAATAGGTCGGTCAAAGTCCGAAACTTTGCTTGATTTCGGCCTTTGTCTTAAATAGCTCTTGATTTCGGCCTTTGGCCGGCCAGTCCGCGGACTGGCCAAAGTCTTAATTAGAAGATCATCTGGCTAGGGACGACAGGCCAAAGTCCGAATTAGAAGATCATGAACAGATTTTGTTTTTTTTTATGCCGTTAGGATCATGAAATTAAGTCTTTATTGATTATTAATTAAAGTAAATGACAGAAACATTCAATTTTTTTATTGTACTATAGTCTCAATCAATCAATATTATCACTTGTTACAACAAGTTTAACTTTTATGGCATTTAGAATTACACTAGAATACCCGTCATCCGTTGGATAACTGTGGGTTTCGGGGGTAATCCATCAAAAAACATCACGTCTGTCACTCAGAGGCATAGCGAGCCTTCCCGGCGCCCGGGGACAAACTTTTCGATTTTAACCCCCCCCCCTCCAAGATTTCGATTTTCAGCCCCCCCCCCCCCCCCCCCCCCTCAAACTTTTGATGTGCACCCCCCCCCACTCAAACTTTCGATTTGAACCCCCCTCAACCTTTCAATTTATTTTTCCAAACCATTTTGGCGCCCCAACATATGTCCCCCGCCCCCCCTCCACCCCCCCCCCCGCCTCCCCTCCCCTCCCGCCCCTCCCCCCCCCCCTCCTCGCTACGCTACTGCAGTGTCACTTATCGTCACAAAAACAGACCCCACATTCAAAAATATGTTTCTTATCTTTTAAAAACACCGAAAACACCGATTTCGGACTATCCCTTCATATACTGACGTCACATGTGACCTACTCAACTCTACTTCACCTGCCCAGTGTCCCGCCAAGTCTCAGACAACATGTTTTTATCGTTTAAAAAACGATTCCAGCCGAGCATGTCTCTGACAACACTATCCTTTCATATGCTTAGGACAAAGAAACAGATGAACTCTACTTCACCTGCCCTGTATCCTGCCAAGTTCAGATAGGCAACTTTATCATTCACATATAAAAAAAAAAAAAAATTGAAAAAAAATATCATTGACATATTGGTCTAGAACCTGTACCACCCGCATGAGAGCGGACTACGCTGCAAACTTAGCTATTTACTCGTGACGTCACAAATGAATTTTTATACTATACTTTTGAGTCTCCGCGCATAGATCTAGATCTAAGTCTAGTAGTGGAATCTAGTAACTTTCAAATTAAATTTTATCTTAAATTAGCCAAACAAAGATTTATATAAAATAATTAAGGCCTGAAATAGATTCTAGATGTATTAAGGCCTGAAATAGATTCTAGATGTAGAATTTACATTGAGTCTAGTGACGTAGATCTAGGCTAGATCTAGATCTAAATCTAGGCTAGATTCATAACTTTCCTTCGACAGCTGATCTTTAGATCTAGAGAAATTTATTGTAAAACTAAATGAAAAAAGACAGTTTAAAATTGATATAAGTGTTGGAACGTAATAAATACAGCAAACGGACGTATTGTTAAAGTTATGACCGACAGAAAATTAGATTTAGAACGCGTTAAACTTTTGAATGGGAACACAATTTTCTTCGATAGACGCCGCCATTTTATTGTACTAAAGAGTAAACAAAAAACTGTGACGTCACGGTCCAGCCGGGTGTAGTCGTCGTTCTAAACTTTAAAAAAAAATGGGTTACTCTGCGTATGAATAAATCAATAAATTAATTAACGTCTTTAAATAAATGTGTGATTAACAGTCTGTCTTAAAACAAAAAATTTTCTCTACCTACATACTATTTTACAGCTTTCCACGATGAGTGCAACCATGAGCAATAGTCAATCAGGCAAACAAACAAAAAAATAAATATTCAAACATGTAAACAAACTTGACTTTTAGTAGTATATAGATAGCAGCGTGTTATTTTTACACTTGCAGCGATTTGTTGTGCACTTGGTTGTGCAATTGCAGCGAGTGTAGCCTTGGCCCCCAGTCAATGATTGTGAAGATGCGATGGTTCGTAGTGATTTTTCCTCAGTGCCAACTGACGACAATAAGAGCAGTTTTTTTGTGAAGAATTGAAAACTCACTTCTAGCATACAGTTGTTTTAGAACACCATGTTCCGTTCCTAATTTGTAGAAACCGCCCTTGACGCTCATGACAACTACAATCACGCTTCGGGGATCACCGTGACCTCTGTCAACATCAGGAACACGGATGCGTCCATTGTCACCCACTTCACAATCTTTAAATTTTGTATTTGATGTTTTAAGCATCTTAGCACCTTGAGTTTTCAAGCAAGTATGAGCTGCTGACCTGTGTTCCATGATGTCTTGATTGTTGTGTCACAATCTGCAGGTAATATTTCCTCCGTACCCTTCGTCTGCTTCATTGGGTATTCCACAAATAGCATGGACATCGTTGCCACAGGGTCCACAAGAATGAGCTGCACTACAATGTTTTTCACAAACTATATAGAATCTGATGGCCACAATATTGTCACGCAACTGGTCTGGACGTTCCGCCACGGCAGCAGATGTGTTAGCTGAGGATGTCGTTGCATTTGTGGCAACATCCTTTTCTTGTTCAATGTTCTCAAGTAATCCGCAGTGCAAAGAAATCTGGGTCTGCTTTATTTGGTATTCCCTTTTTGTTGGGGAAATATGGTTTCTGACGCCCGCGCCATCTCAAGTCGCTTGGACATTATTGTTCAACTTACAAAGAACGCGGCAAAGTCCTTTAGATCCATGTCGCCTTGCATATAGAATGCTATACAAACAAGAGCTAAACAATACGTTACTCACAATGAAACCGCACCCAGAATAATGAAAACGCGATCACAACTTAGTCTAGATAGAACATTGGCCAGGACATCCCGGCGAGTGCGCGCATTGGCCGGCCAATCCGCGCTTTGGCCGCATTTCGGGCTTTGACCGTAACATATATATATATATATATATATATATATATATATATATATATATATATATATATATATATATATATATATATATATATATATATATATATATAGTAGGTATATGTGTGTGTATGTATTGTCGAGATGGTCAATGTGTATTTGTAAGACTTTTGGTTTCAAACTTCAATTATTCATAAACTGAATAGTCAAAAAGCATTTTTCTTCTATTTATTTTGCAATTTTTCGTTTTGGTGTCATCGCCCTTAGTGGTATTAACACCTTGCCCGCGCCTTGCAACGCCTCTGATTTTGCTAGATATAATGATAATTGTAGATGCTTAAATGGGACAAGGACCAATACGGAGGACAGGGCGTGATACATCCGGTCCCAGAGGACATCTGGAGACCACGTGTGGTCATCATGAACACGTTAGGCGACCGGGACCCGTTTGGTGACGACGTTGCGTGAGTACCTGTTGAGTAAATTGTACAGTAGGTTCAACTAGTAAAACAAAGGGACGAAGTGGTGTGGGTCTAATATTATTAACAGTTAACCATCTCAAAATTCTCAAATAATAACAATATACAAAAAAACAACTATGCTACTATGTATGTTAATGAAATAAATTTGATTCTTTTCTTTTATCTAATATTCATAACTTTAAAAAATACATTAAATATTTTCATCGATATATAAATATTTTCTTCACCATTTACACTGTGTTCATGTTAAAACAATACCCCTCCACCAAAGCCCCGTGTTTATATACAACGATGGATCAGCAGCCTGGGCACCAGGGACACTGTTGACCACTTCCTGTAAACTGGACCTGACGGACTACCCGTTTGACCAGCAGAGCTGCACTGTCCAGGTACTTGTATACTCGAGAGAACAATTTTTATTTTCCTTTTTGTTTTGCAATGATAAGTTCGATGGGAATCCCGACTAACATACATTATTAATTGTTTACTTGTTATGTTTCATATGGTCAGTTTATTGCGACTTTCTTTATGTCTTTTGTACAACCAAGAAAAATTACAAGGCAGCAGTTTTTTTATTGTCGAGTTTTCTAAATGAGTTGCTGTTACCAGCTATAGAGAGTCTCATCTGTTCAGGAGAGTCGAACAAATGACTATTCGGATTCGCAGCTATGAGCTTAACCTACCCGACCATGCCGACCCACGAAACGCCTTTAAGAATAGTTTTGTCGATTTTACTGATAACCATACATTAACATAATGTGTAGTACAAATAGGGCTTGGTTATAGGATGTGAGAGTTTCAAAATGTTTCCTCACATACATACACACATATTCCTAACTTTCCCTTGCAAACGGACAACACTACGAACAACCCGACGGACAACCCTACGGACGGCCATCCCTACGTGACTGTATTGCACCATACACAACTGCCTCCAAGTATATTGCAGTTGGGGTTTAACTCGTAAGTGTTCTATATCAACCAAATGTAATGTTGTTGTTTTTTTAAAGGGTCGAAGAGTAAGTAAAACTGTTTATTAAAAAAAAATGTAACTTTTATATAAAAATGTAAGTTAACCTGCCATATGTGAAGTGATTAAACTGTGCTTTCGATTCGTGTTATAGATTCTTGCTATGACGCTCTCGATAGAAGAAATGAAGTTCGTGGCCTCGCAAAACAAAGTTGCCCTGAACTTTTTCACGATCAATGGTGAATGGGAGTACGTGGATTCAAACGTGACGACATCACCGATTGGCACAGGGACTTGGACCATGTCTTCCATTGATGTAAGTTTTATCTAAAATTACATTCATGCACTAGAATGATAGAAGATTAAAAATGTATTACCTTTTTACTTTCTTGTTTACGGAGTATAGAGGAAGGATTGTAATCGTGCACAAAAATCACATGATGCTGTGATAGTTATCACCGTTTTACTTCTCAGTACTTTATCATATACGGAGTATAGGGGCTTATTTTAATACGGCGAAAATTCTAAATCCAAATTTATCAAAACATCTGCGTTTCACTGGTCATCGAGTCGGGAAAACTTAGTTTTGCAAACTTGTCTGTTTGTCTATGTGTGTGCTGATGTTTGTTTGTGAACACGATTACTTGAGTACTGTTACAGTTGCTTAATAACAATTCATGTATAAGTATTATGTCAAACAGTAAACAATACGTGTAGAATAGTGCGGAACATTACTACATGGCAAATTCAAATGCATTTTTTTTCTGAGAAAACGAAAATAGCGTAAAGTACTAAATGCGTTCACCAGAAAGTACTCAAAATTTGACAAAAAAGAGAGAATTAGATATTATACCTATATGTGACATTTCATCTATTAAACTGAATCAGCAATCAAACTATATTATTTTGAAAAGGTGAAAGTGGAATATGTTCCACTTCCAGTTAACGGAATTTGCTGAAAAGTTGCTGCAGAACCTCAAATTTAAAATAATAATTGTATATAAAATTTCGTCACCTTCGCTGTTATTGTGTTCATAGTCAGAAAGAAAGTTTCTTTTCTAAGTTTCAAAGCATTTAAGACATTTACATTATACATGATTTGATATTAGATTTCTTTGGGTGACGAGTTAATTTTTTTATAACAAAATAAACCGGGAGTGATCTCCCCTAAACTTTCTCGAATATTCGTAAATAAAACAACAGTGGGTGGGAACTCGGGATATAGACATGATTTGTAATCCATTTTAAATACTTAAACTTTTTAAAATAGAATAAAATCTCGTGGAAAAAGAATTGCACGCCAAGTGAACGCCAAAATAAAGATGTGCATAATAGTGCGCAATATTATTAGCACTATAAATTTACATTCGTTTTTTGAGAAATCGGAAATAGCGTAAACTAGTACTTCCGGTCATCGGAAATTACTCAAAATTCGACAGAAGGTAGAGAATTAGAACATTTACTTACATGTTAAATTTCATTTATCTATCTAAAATAGTACTTAAGTTTTAGGCTTTTGAAAAATTCAAAGTAGAAAAAGTACCACTACCGTTTATCGGAAATCGCTAAAAAGTTAATACGGATCTACGATTTTGATAAAATACTTATATATGAAATTTCATCAACCTAGCTGTAACGGTACTCACGCTATCGTGTTTACACACAGACACACACAGACAGACACACAGACATACGGACAAGAATGCAAAATTATGTTTTTCCGTATAAGGGAGGTGTAAAACGTCGAGATTTGTAAAAATCTCATTTTTTTTCACGATTACAATACTTTCTCTATACTTCGTATATACGAGAAAGTAAAAAATGATGTTATTTTTACTTTCTCGATTATAGAGAAAGTCTTGTAATCGTGCAAAAAAAAAAAAAATCGAGATTTTTGCAAATCTCGGCGTTTTATGCACATTTTTTTTGTGTTCACTTGGTGCGCAATTCTTTTTTCTATGAGATTCTATTCTATTTTTAAAAGTTTAAGTAATTAAAAATCATGTCTATATTCCAAGTTATATAAGAATATTCGAGAAAGTTTAGGGGAGATCACTCCAGGTTTATTATGACATAAAATCACACCACTTGTTTTATTTATATTATAGTGGTCTTTTAAAAAAAATATTTCAGATTACGATTGTTATTAAGAGGAGACCCACGTTTCTCCTCATCAACATTATCCTCCCTGTTGTGTTTCTCTCTTTCCTCAATCTGCTCGTCTTTTTCATCCCAGTGGAGTCGGGTGAGAAAATTGGCTACGGTAAGTTTCTCCATATAGGGCATGACGTATCTAGAGAGCTGTTAAGGACGCATTGGTTTTTATATTTGTATACAACTTCTTTAACTTCACCTTATCAGTTTGTTAGGTTTGTTTGGTGGCCTTTTTGCAAATCTTTTAAATCTATTTTAAACCACTACTGATTTCGTTTGCTTCGCAAATGCATTAATTTACGACGTAAATGCAATAATATCTTATCTTTAATAGAATTACACGTTAGTTTGGTCATTATTATTTATTTCATTACCAAATTTTAAAAAATAAAATGTGATAACACGATTAAATACTAGGGATCGTTTGATCAGCTTACCAAAGACAGTTGGTCATAGATGGTTGCTTTCTAGTCTAAGAATCGGCTACGGACTAAGAATGGAAGATAATTGTCTTTCAAAGATCGAAATCTTTTGATCGGATTGTAAAGCAAATTATTGTTGTGTCGACTTTAATGACACGTCGAAAATAAAATTGTTTAAAACCAATATAATAAAAAACTTTTAAATGTACATTAAATTTAAAAAAAATAAATATTTTAACAAACATTCTTTCTTTTACAAAAAGTATTTTTTATTTGTGATTGATGATTTGGGATTTTTCAATGTTATTATAAATTAAAGTACGCTTGTTTAAAGATGTATCGGCAAACCATTTGCAATTTTATAAATTGGCTTTTTACGTCAGTAAGTTAAAAACTAATTGGTCTGTAAGGTAATTATTAAATAAGAAGCGTGAACATTGACCAAAAATCATTTGCAATAAGTACTTAGATAAAATCTTCACATAATTACTTGAGTACGCTAGTTAATTTTTGGCTTTGTATAACATACATTTTAAGTTATTTTAGCATGACAAAGTATGACATAAACGCAATCTTATTCTCGTCGGCGTTTAACGACTTAAACATAAGCTAGTTTTCTTCCGTATTTGCCATGCAGGAATCACAGTACTTCTGGCACTGTCTGTCTACATGAGCATGGTCAGCTCTATGCTGCCCAGCTCCTCACTGACCACACCAAAGCTGACCCTCTACCTCTTCATCCTCCTCATCATCTCTATGCTCACCGTTATCGACAGCATCATCATCGTCTTTCTCCACAATTTGGAGGAGGTAAATAGATTCTTTATCATCATATTTTAAATACATAAAAGTAGCAAAATAAGAAGTCATCACGCAGATCGTAAGAGCTGTGTGATAAGGCAAAGTAAATACACCAACACCGAACTGCGTTTAAGAGTTATGTTAGCCTGTCACCCCTCATTGGGACATAGGCCGTCCACAATATTTCCAGGCATCTCTGTCCTGGGCTAGTCTCTCCATCTGTCCCCAGGTGTATCAATTCTTCTTGGTGTCAGGCCTCTCTGTCCTGGGCTAGCCTCTCCAACTGTCCCCAGGTGTATCTATTTTCTTAGTGTCTTCTTCCAGTTCTTCCTTGGTCTCTTTTTGTTTTGCATTGAATATTGCATTCTATAAGTAAATCTTTTTAATTTTAATTTTTTTCTTAATGTGTGTATCTTACTATTTACTTCGAACTGAAAACATTAGAAAACCACATAAAATATAAAAACACTAGTATAATTTTATTAAAACTGAATTTCGGGAAAAGAAACCGAAAAATAAGTGAAAGTATTTTCGGAAAATATATTGACCTACATCACTAAAACACTTATCTTCATTTCAGAGAGAAGTCACTAATCTCAATGCTAAAAATTTTAGATCAGCTAACAGCAAGGACAAAAGCAGTCGAAGGGCCGTTACTCCAGTACCAAAAACGAAAAGGAACATAATCCACGTAATACCGCAAGGGAAGCAATCACTTGCTAAGGTCTCCGAAATGACGTCATTCAGCGATGACGCGCTGCCCCCAGCCAATCAAAGCGAACAATGGGAGACACCACGCAGAAACAAGTACAAGACGATAGGCAAACACATAGACGCCATCTCGTTCGTTGTGTTTTTTATACTTTGGATCTCTGTGTCTCTGGGCTTTCTGCTCGATATCTTTTTCTAGAGAAACAAAATACAAGGCAAAATCTACCTGGTTGTGGGCTTTGTGATTACATTTTTAGAATCATCTACGTTTTATTGATCTGAAATTGTCGGCTTGTGACAATAACTTGAGGATCCATTTACAGAATTACAAATAACTGAAGAATTGCAATTTTTTAATCAGTTAAAAAATAAAAGTAATTCTGAGTTTTATTTGAGATTCATCCTCATGTTACCAATTGTAGCATTTCGTGTTTTGTGAAAGAGGTTCTAGATGCACCACACAGTTCGTTGAATTCAAATCTCGACCAACTTAACGCATTCGTTTTTTTTAACTGACATCAAATTGGTATACACATTTCATGCCAGTGTCCAATCAGTTCAACACTTCCCAACAGATATGTTTTAGACGCAAAACTAGTCAGAGTAAACATTTTTTTTTAAATAGTATGTCAGTTGTTTGCCTTATGTGCATCAATGTTTGATGCTCGTGTTGTACTAGTAGATAGTCTTTTTAATATAATAGGTCATCTTTGTTTAAATTAATTACACTATACTCAGTCTTGAGTTATGTGTACATCCTTAAATAAAGTACACTGAATCATGTGTACATCCCTAAATAGAGTACACTGAATCATGTAAACGTCCCTAAATTTATAACACCTATTCACGTGAACGTCCCTAAAAATGTTGCATCGAGTCTTGTGAACGTCCCTACATAAAGTACACTGAATCATGTGTACATCCCTAAATAGTGTATAGTGAATCATGTGTACATCAGTAGATAGAGAGGCACCGAGTCATTTGAACGTCCCTAAATATAGAATACTGAGTCACTAAATAAAATACATCGAGTCTTTCATCATGTGTACGCCATTAAACGTGAGATCTCACGTACACACTTTTAGATCAACGCCTTGTACACTGATTTATTGGCCTTTATTTTTGATCCGGTATTTCACACCTGTAGCACTCTCTACCCCGTCACGTACCTGGGTAGATTTTTAAATCATACATTCAATAAGTTTACCTGCAGTAACCATTTGATCCAAGGTTTAAAATATGTGGACATACTTTATTCAAAACACCGAACTATGCCCTTGTTTACTAGTCTACCATTCGACTAGTTAAATGTTTCTTTTTTTATTTTCTCGTATATAAAGTATAAAGAGAATTATTGTAATCGTGCACAAAATCGAATTGAGATTTTGACAAACCTTGATGTTTTACATCTCCCTGTGTCGGAAAAACTTTTTATTTTGCAATTTTGTTTGAAGGTTTGTCTGTGTATGTGTCTGTCTGTGAATATGAATATGACAACTTGAGTACCGTTTCAGTTAAATCGACGCCATATCATATATATGTATTCTATCAAATTTAAAGTTCTGTATCAATTTTGAACGATTTCCGGTAAACGGAAATTATATTCACTCTAATTCCGGTTTCTCAAAAGTGAATTTGAGTAGCGTTTAAGTTAGGTGGAATAAATTTAACTTATAAGTAATATATTCTATGTGTAGTTTTTTTTTCAAACTTTGAACGATTTTCGGAACCTAAATTAAGTAGTATTTTACTCTAATGCCATTGTGAACACTGTACCTTGAGTACTGTTTCAGGTAGGTAGATGAAATTATTTAAGTATCTTATACTTTGATTACTTTCAAATTAAGAGTGACCTCTGATAACCTGAAGTGGTTTTTTTCTATATACTAAAATACTGAAATCTTGAGCACCATCGTAGTTAGGTGACCGAAGACTTAAACGTTGGTACAAGATACTATTTCCTAGATTCTCGTGCAGTTTGATCATTACTTCTACTGGACCGATTTCTTCAAAACTGTTCAAGTAGGTCTAGACTTGATGACAATTTATTGCGACACAAAATTTGGCTAAATTAGATGTTTAATTCACTTCTTAAAAAATTAATTAGTTTTCTTTATAAAGCAATAAGTGTCATTTCTTTTATATACACACTAGCCGTCGGTACACATTACACGCGAATTATATTTATTATTATTATTTTAATGTTAGAATTTTTTTTTGAGAAAAATATTTTATGAAATAGTTATTGGTCAAAACGCAATGTGCTTTACGGTATTAGTGACAAAGCATATAAATAATTAAGTAGCTAAAAATCCGACAAATATAAAATAACATAGGCTAACAATACCTTTTAGATAAACCAAATTATATCACCTACATTATTTGCCAACGCAACACAATCTCAAATACACACACTGATTAAGTTACTAAAATGATTTCTTTGGTATTTCTGTTATTTTTTAAAAGTAATTTGTATTACTTTTGGCCGAGAAAATTGTATATATTTTCTTGATAAATAGATATAGAGATCTAAATCAAATTTGAATGAAATAGTCAATTTCTTCAGATTCTAAAATTGGACGATATCGCAGTTAGGAGTGTGTACTCTCCGTAGTTTAAAGTTTTTGCGTTCTTGTCACAACAAAAAAAAAACATTCATGCATAGTGAAAACTGTGTTTCTACATTCGAATAAGCCTTTATTTTTTATTTTCCTTCTTTAAATAAAACTTAGTTTTTACATTTAAAACATCCAACATTTTATTTTTAACAAAAGTCCTAATCTTTAATTTCTCCTTATATCGCTGAACATACTCATCAAACAGCCTCAAAAAGTGTGCACATGGGCTTTTATATAATAATATTAGGAATGTTTATGTTCATTTGGTGCGCATTTTTTTTTCTTCACGATTCTATTCTATTTAAAGAAATGTTATATAAGAGAAAGGTAAGGGGAGTTCAATCACGCTTTACAAATTCTTAAGAATTTTTTTGCACGATTTAAAAAAAAATAATCGTGTCTGTTTGATTGGGAATTTCTATTAACCACAGGGTTGAATTGAAGCGTGGGTCCGCACCTATAACAGAACACTTATCCAATGCGATCGAAGCACTGCCGTAATGACTTGCAGATTCACACCTGACTTCACCCACTAGTTCTGCTCTAATAATGCCATGACATTGCAAATATTTACAACTATTACGTGTTGTTTGGCAAAGCTTAGTATATTTCACGGCTTAGAAGTCGATACAACCTAAAAATGGTTCACTCAAAACGTTGCCTTGAAGAGTTGTTTTTTTAATCATCGGATTTAATTTTAGTGGTCTAGCATTATACAATAATTACAGGGACCGAACTAGTCAATTTAGCAGACAGTATGTGGTGGCTTGGTTCGATCCTAGATTTCAAAACTGCAAACAGGAAAAATCCAGTGTTTAGATACCGTGCTACAGTCAAAAGAACGTTCCTGATTCACCTAGCTCTGAGCATAGTGATGACCACACTATCTCTTCATATGTCGAGGTCATATATAGTGATAACCACACTGTCTCCTCATATAACGAGGTCACATCTAGTGATGACAACACTCTTTTATAACGAGGTCACATATAGTGATGACAACAATGTCTCTTTATATGTCGAGATTACATATAGTGATGACAACACTGTCTCTTCATATGTCGAGGTCACCGCGCAAGTGATGTCTAATTCATCGCCATGTCCGCAATGTTATTTTAAAATTAATTTATATATTGTAAGATTAATATTTGACCCCTTGTACATTGAGTATTTTAAATAATTTCGCAGTAATTGTTGAATGTTTTAAGGCCAACTTTATCAAATAAACCGGGAGTGATCTCCCCTAAACTTTCTCGAATATTCTTATATAAAACAACAGGGGATGGGAACTCGGGATATAGTTATGATTTTTAATCCATTTTAAATACTTAAACTTTTTAAAATAGAATAGAATCTCATAGAAAAAAGAATTGCGCACAAAGCGAACGCCAAATAAAGATGTGTATAATAGTGCGGAATATTATTAGTACTTTATAAATTCACATGCCCTTTTTTGAGAAATCGGAAAGAGTAAAAATTACTTCTTCCGGTCAACGGAAATTACTCAAAATTTAACAGAAGAAGGCAGAAAATTAGATCTTTTACTTACATTTCATTTATCCATCTGAAATAGTATTCAAGTTATAGGCTTTTGAAAAATTCAAAGTAGAAAAAGTTCCACTTCCGGTTATCGGAAATCGCTCAATAATTGATACGGATCTACGATTTTGATATTATACTTATATATGAAATTTCATCAACCTAGCTGTACCGGTACTCAAGTTATCGTGTTTACACACACACATACACACACAGACATACGGACAAGGTTGCAAAACTGTTTTTTTTTACTCAGGGAGGTGTAATACGTCGAGATTTGCAAAAATCTCGATTTTTTTTGCACGATTACAATACTTTCTCTATAATTCGTATATACGAGAAAGTAAAAATGCTGAAAATACCGAAATGGGGGATGATGGTTTACCCCGCAGTCAACACAAAAAGTAAAAGAAAAAGGCAGTCCCTGCAATTGGTCGATGTCCATGCAGATAAAATTAAGGAGAGTGAGATCTCAGTCTGACATAAACTAGCAGCATAGTTTCAGAACTGCTAACTCAAAAGTGTCTAGTTCGAATCGAACTCAAGTCGGTAGAACATCCCTGAGTCCCCCTATAATTTCCGATTTGTACCTAACTCACGTAAAGCTGACTGAGCATAGTGCTGAAACTATGAACGCTATTTCATCTGCCTAATGGATCGCTATATCTTAACAAGAATCTTTAGGATTTTTTTTCAGTTACAATGTCAGATCGCGGTCACAAAGCGACATGGTGAAATTAAAGCAGACAGCGAATCAAAGGATGTGATCAAAACATCAAAGTCGGTGTAAAAAAAACGGGAGTGATCTCCCCTAAACTTTCTCGAATATTCTTATATAAAACTACGGGAGATGGCACATCACGATATAAACATGATTTTCAATCCAGTTCAATTACTTTAACTTTTAAAATAAAATAAAATCTCGTAAAAAAGAATTGCACACCAAGCGAACGAAAAATAAATATGTATCTTCTTCTTCTCCGTTCTTAATTTTTAGTGGTGGAAGGGATCGAGTCTTTTCTCTTTGAGTCTTTTTCTCTCAAGTCTTTGAACTTGAGACTTTTTCGAATTTATCAACCATGAACTTTTGCTGACTCGACCACGCCTCCATCACAATTAAGGATACGTGTCAACTGGTTATGCGCCATTGAGGCCATTTACTCCGATTTCAGCCTGCCTTTCTTTTTGGATTTGCGTCCATAGCCTTTGTCCAACCAAGAATAAGCTACAAGGCAGCAGTTGTTCGATTTTGGAGTTGTCTTTCCTAGAAGAATGGCTGTCCCCAGCTAACGAACCTCATTTACCCGAGGGTTTGAACTCGAGACTTTACGGTGTAGCAACCATGAGCTTTACCAACTCAACCACGCCGACCACTTAGTGTGGGATATTATTAGTACTTTATAAATTCACATGCGTTTTTTTTAGTAATTTCCGTTGATCAGAAGTAGTAATTTACGATATTTTCCGATTTCTCAAATAAAACCGCAATCATAACAAGCTGTTGTGTAATAATGCACTAGAGAGTAGGAAATAAATGATACACTGCTATTTAAAAAGCTATAAAGAAAACCGTGGTTCACTTTAGTATCTTTTGGATAACTTTACTACTATTTAGGAAGAGATCCTAGCTTATAGTTATTTAAATATTATTGTATAATTAATTTTCTACTTTTTAGTGCATTATTACACAAAAGCTTGTTCTTAAAATAATTGTTTTTATGATTTTTTCACTTTAATATTTAAAAATTTACAGTAGACTTGCTTGACTAAAAACTATTTCACACCTAATGAACGTGATAACGCGTGTATAGTAGTCGGAATAGTTTGATGAGAAAGCATAGTTATTTGGACACAATTTTAATTAGTTCATAAAAAAATTAATTAGGCATCCAATCAACTCAAATTTAATATCAAATTGCATTGTCTTTATGTCTTGACCCACGTGCCAACGTTAACCGTATCTGTCAGTTGGAAGTGCCCGAAATTTTGCTCGCCTGTTCCGATCTAGACGGACAGACTGCCGACAGACAGAGACAGTAATTTAAATAAAAGCTTGTAATTAAAAAAACGCATACAAAGAAAATTCATTTAAAAAACGTTTTAATAACACGTTTTTATGTAATAATGCACTAGAAAGTAGTAATAAAATTTTTCAATACTATAAAAATAACTTTAAAGAACGGCGTGGGTTACTTTAGTATCTATTGGATACCTTTACTAATATTTAGGAAGCGACCCTCGCTTTTCTTTATAGTTATTGAAATAGTAGTGTATAATTTATTTTCTACTTTTTAGTGAATTATTACATAAAAACTTGTTATTAAAACGTTTTTTTATGAAAAAAAAATTCAGAACTTTAATTTTTTTAAATAACAATACAGTTGCATGACTAAAAAACGTGATGACGCGTGCGTAAGTGTGCGGAATTGTTGGATGAGACAGCCTACTAATTTCGACAACATTTTAATTAATTCATAAAAAATTAACCAGGCTTCTTCTTCTTCATTCTTAATTTTTAGTGTTGGAAAGGATCGAGCCTTATCTGCCAAAGGGTTTGAACTCGAGGCTTTTTTTCGTAAAATTTAATGTCAGATTGTATTGTCTTCATGTCTTGACCCACGTGCCAACTTTGAACTGAATCTATCTGTTAGAAGTGCCCGTAATTTGGCTTGGGCGTTTCAATCTAGACAGACAGATTGACGGCAGACAGACTGTCAACAGACAGACAGAGAAAGCAAGTTAAATAAAAGATTGTAAAAACGAAAATAAACATGTTCATTTTTTGTTGAGCTTTGAAGACATAACAAGACTTGCCGAATTCCTATTCTTTCGCCAAATAGGAGACAAAATAAGTATTGTTGAATAATGAGCTTCATAATTCATAACTAAACCGACAAGTGTGATAGGGTATTAAGATAAAGATTAAGCTCCACTTTTGTGTTTGCTCCAACGCAAAGCCACTGGCAGAAAGTAAACAAAGTGATGTGTACAGACCAATCCTGGCGAGCGACTGTCAGAAAATTTAATAAGGTTCTAAATTTAGATCAGCCTAGAGAGTTAATCGACACTCAATAATAGTTTCGCTTGCGCTCATTGAATTAAATCGTGTTGTGGACGCGGATTAGAATATTAATCAGTTGCATTCGTAACATGGATATAAACATTCGCATTTTTAAGTGTGGTTTAAGTTTGTTAGTTTTTGGTTTATGTTCGCACGTTGAGTGCCAGACTTACAATGAGACCATGGATATTTTTAACGACGTGCTGAACAGTGCCAGGTATAACCCAAAGGTCAGGCCGCTCTGGAACCAGACTAAAACGATGTACGTTGTGGTGCGGTTTCAGTTGTTGTCTATTGTTGAGCTGGATGATGTGCAGCAGAGTTTTGCCTGTAACGGCTTTCTGGGATTGGTCTGGGAAGATGAGGTGAGTCATCTACATAATTATGTTGTTCTTTTACTAATAGTTATATCAAAATGCATAATCCTACGAAAAATATACTATTTAACATGAAATACATGTGACGCAAAAACGCTTCTCATAAAATTCGTTAATGAAAAAATAATATTTTGGTCGCAACAAAATATGAGATACATTAATTCTTTTTACATTTTTAAACGAGAACATTAAATCGTGTAACACAAAAACATTTTGTCTCTTGGTATAAAAACAAAAAGATCAACTAGAAACCGATAGTCAAATTAAAAAAGGAAACGTAAACACAAATTATTGGGCGATATAGTGGACATAAATGATTCTATATTTTGTATGTGAGTCACAGGCCCCTGTTTTAAAAAAAAACATTGATCAAGTCCAACCTTGAGCAAATGTTTGTGAAAAATTTAATTAATGGACGTCCGGGTGGACTAATGATTTATTGATTAATATAAAACAAAAATATCAGCATTATGTTTGTTAATTTAAAACAAAACTATTGTCATTATAGCAAAGAAAAAAAATAATATGATTGAAAACATTTATTTTAGCGTATACAAACGTTAAACGTGTATACATGTAAAGAAAAGAGTACGTTAAAGTAATAAGAAGTTATACGAGTGAGAACTATAACTTTCAGATGCTCAAATGGGACAAGGACAAATATGGAGGACAGGACGAGTTGCACCCGGTCCCAGAGGACATCTGGAGACCACGTGTGGTCATCATGAACACGTTAGGGGACCGGGACCCGTTTGGTGACGTCATAGCGTGAGTAATTCTCCTAATAAGTTTTATTCGAAAAGTCAAGAATAAGATAGGGCGAGTATAATACCAGCAAAGCAGTTAATCTTTTTATGGTGTAGGCAAATGTTAGAGAGTTCGACTTCTAGCCTGATTCCACTCAACACTGATTAACATTAGGTAAAGTAAAAGCGTCTGAGTGTAGTACTGACCGCACTATACCTTATATGCCGAGGCTAGAAAAACCTCCTCTACGAATCGCTAAATTGAAAAAGGTAAACTTAAATTTACTTTACGGTAACCAGCTTACAAAAAATGTCTTCATCAATAAATATGCATTCATCTATCTATATTTTCCACCAGTAGTTTTGTTAAAACTATTTATTAAAACTATTTATAAAAGTCGAAACACTTTCCTATCCATCAACTGTGAGTTGGTGTTTAAACGCCCCCCCCCCCCCCAGACCCGTGTTCGTCTACAGCAATGGTTCAGTATCCTGGGTACCAGGGACACTGTTGACAACTTCCTGTAAACTGGACCTGACGGACTACCCGTTTGACCAGCAGAACTGTACAGTCCAGGTATTTGTTTTCTAAAAAACAACAGAAGGAAATCTCTTCCAGCAATCGTATCTTTTTCTCAACATTTATCTCTCATGGCATTTTGCAACTATAATTTTGGATGTTTAGAATAGAGATCTAAGTGGCCATTTGTTTTGTGGAGTAGCGTCTGCTTACAGAAGAAATATTACCTTACATGTGATGCCGTTTTATTAAAAAACTCAATATTTAGTAAAATAATTATCACATATATATCTACAATGCATTTATTTTTATTTTCTTCTTCCTCTTCTTTCTTAATTCTAGTGTTAGAAGAGATTTCCTCCAATACAATTGACTATTTCGTAAAAACTTCGTATGCGCCATATAGGCAGTTGATTCCGTTTTCAGCCTGCTTTTCTTTTTGGATTTGCTTCCCTAGACTTTGTCCAAACTAGAACAAACTACAAGGCAGCAGTTGTTTAAGTTTGGAATTGTCTCTCCTAGAAGAGTTGCTGTTTCCAGCTGCTATCGAGCCTTATTTACCCGAAGCTTCAAACTCGGGACTTTTCGTTTAACAACCATGAGCTTTACTCAGTCGACCGCGCGACCTCCTAATTTATTTGTTTAAGTCACAGAGCTTCTCTTATGAAGTAAAGAGAACTAATCTACGTACCTGCAGTGTTTTTAAAATTGGGTGTATCTCTTCCTGCAGATTGTAGCCATGACACTCACGACAAAAGAATTGACATTTGTGGCCTCGACAAACAAATCTTCTCTGAACTTCTTTACTTCAAACAGCGAGTGGAACTACTTGGACTCTAGCCTTACAACGTCGTATATTAGCACAGGGACTAGGAACTTATCCTCGATTGATGTAAGTTTGAGTTAACCTTTTCTGTGCTCAGTTGATTTAGGTTTTAGATACGTTTAGGTATCTCTGCTCAGTTGAAGTAGGTTTTAGATATTTGTAGGTATCTGTGCTCAGTTGATGTAGGTTTTAGATATTTGTAGGTATCTGTGCTCAGTTGAAGTAGGTTTTAGATATTTGTAGGTATCTGTGCTCAGTTGATGTAGGTTTTAGATATTTGTAGGTATCTGTGCTCAGTTTATGTAGGTATTAGATATATGTACGTATCTGTGCTTAGTTAATGTAGTTTTTAGATATTGAAACGCTTCTGTGCTCAATTGATGTAGGTATTAGATATGTATTCGTATATGTGCTTAGTTAATGTAGGTTTTATAGATTTGTATGCATATGTGCTTTATTGATGAAAGGTATAGATATTTGTACTTGCTGAAAGAACGAGGGCTTTATATAATGTTAGGTATCTGTGCATAACTGTTAAATGCTGTAGATAATGTTAACTATCTGTTCCCATTTGAAGTAGGTTTAAGAAAATGTTGAAGTGCACATACATTATTAAGTATTTTCGATGATTATAATAAAGACAACATGCACTCAGGGTTGTATAGTTTCTGTTGTGCAATAAAATGCAAGTGTTTTTAATATTGTAAAGGTTTGTTGTTCATTTATCAATTGGGATTGGAATGAGTTAAACACATGGTATGTTCACAAACTTTGGTTAAATTTCAGGAGAAATAAAATACAAGATAGTAATGAAATTAATGGCAATACTATTAATATTAAATAGACGTTGGTGCAATAGTAAATAATAAGAGTGACTTTGTTTAGTTGTTGGTTACGGATGACGTGTGGAATTGTTTATAAACAAGTATTTACAAGTTTTGAAGCAATAAACACCATTAGACATTTCTCTTTAACGTTACACTTGCCTTTACAAAACATTTTCAGATAACGTTTTTCATGAAGAGGAGACCCATGTTTCTCCTCATCAACATCATCCTCCCTGTCGTGTTTCTCTCTTTCCTCAATCTGCTCGTCTTCGTCATCCCAGTGGAGTCGGGTGAGAAAATTGGCTACGGTGAGTTGTCTAACTTGACAGGTTACTAGCATCATAATCAACGTAACCAATCCGGCTGGGCATAGTTGAACTTACTATCCTTCTGTATATCGTGGGTATTGAAACATACGAACTCTACTTCCTCTGTTAATTTTTCCTGGGCTCGAACTAAAGAAGATGATATGAGAAAACGATTTCAGCATTTATTTATAACTAATAAGGCTTTGTGACAACTGAAAAAATAAAACAAACAATAACTGAATGTAGCAGACATGAACAAAAAAAACACAACACACAAGACAAATGCCATAAGCACTTTATGCGTTGTTTGTTGTCTGTTTTGTCATGCAGGTATCACAGTACTTCTGGCACTTTCTGTCTACATGAGCATCGTCAGCTCTCTACTGCCCAGCTCCTCACTGACCACACCAAAGCTGACCCTCTACCTCTTCATCCTCCTCATCATCTCCATGCTCACCGTTATCGACAGCATCATCATTGTCTTTCTTCACAATTTGGAGGAGGTAAATAAATTACGTTACCTAAGATTTTAGTTAGAGTAAGAAGTTAGGTCATAATGCCGATCAATAATGTTTTTATGACAAAAGTATAGTATAATACGAATTATTTTATCAAAACTCATTAAATTTACGATGTAATTTAAAAAAAAAATAGCACATTTTTCCTTTTATTCATTTATCTCTGTTTTTTGTTTCTTTTTAAAATAATGAATTCATTTTTTTTCATTAATATTTTAGATTATCTGTAATAACTTATTAAATTGCATAAAACACTTTTAAAAACATTATTGCACAATGGACATTTCAGAAAGCGGTTGTTCATTTCAAGGCTCAAGAAAATTTTAAATCAGCTTTCAGCAAAGTCAAAAACCTTCAAAGGGCAGTTACTCCAGCAACAAAGATGACACGGAATACAGTCAATGGGAAACAATCATTGGCAAACTTCAAGGAAGCAACGTCATGCAGCGAAGAGGCACCGCCATATTCTTCTACGGATATGTCAAGCAATCAGGATGATAATAGAGAAACCCCTCGCCGGAACAAGTACAAGATGATAGGCAAACACATAGACGCCATCTCGTTCGTTGTTTTCTTTTTCATTTGGATCTCTGTAACTCTTGGCTTCTTGTTCAACATATCTTTCTAGAGTCACAACAACATCGAAGTCTAGATCTCTGTGACTCTTGGCGTTCTGCTAAACATTGTCTTGTAGAATTCCAAAAAATCTTTATCTAGACATCTGTAGCTTATGACTTGATTTACAGTATCGCTTTAAAGCGCCAAAAAAAAAATAGCATCGTCTAGATTTTAAAGATTCACGATGACCCCGCTCAACATTGCTTTTAAGAACAAAGGAAGATCAAAAACAAGATCATAAATTGGATACATACGATACTACAGGTCATTGATATTAAAATTTAAAAAAAATGTTTCGGGCCTAAAATAAGTATTAGGCCTACAGTTTTAGAACCTGATCAGTAAACACAGTACCCATAAGCTAAACAATTATCTGAGTATGATTTGAGACCCAAATCTAACTGATGAATACAGCAACTGTCTCTAAAATGATACGTCAGTAGCTTCCCTTTTTTAAATCAAATTATACGAATGATAAATGTTTTATTACTTCAACATGCTAACCATCTTTGTTCAAATTATGGTGGATCATTTCAATTAATTAAAAGCATTAAAAGCACGAATTATTTGGATGTTTTAAATATTATAATTTAAGGATGTTAATTTTACAATGGCAGCAGTGCTGTTATCAGTATGCTTTTTTTCATCCATCTTTTACTTAATTTTTATTTTGATTGTTTTATTTGTAATTTTTTGTCCAGAAGAAAAGCTATTTTTAATCATGTATTACAATTTTTTTCTCATATACAATCTCTGACATTTTTTATAGACGTTTACTTTTGTTAAAGTGAGATTTTACTTACTTTCGATGTATTTTACAAGATTATAATTATAAATTGTTTTAGATTTAATTTTTTTCAGAATTTTATTTAGCTATCGAAAATACTAATACGTTCGATACACCAAATATTTTCAAGTCATACACAAACAACCATTTAAATAACACAACACTCGGTTTTTATCATAATTAAATCGTTTCTCGATAGTTTTACCAGTGTATGCTATGGAAAATCAATTAAATGTTGCAATTTGTAAACTCTTGCAATTTTTTAAATCGATGTATTTAAGAAGATTTCAGGTTTAAAGAAAACACAAACAATGCAATTTATTTAAGAGTGATTTCCCTTTATACAACTCTTGTTGGCAGCCACGTTTATTACTGGTAGTATAATGTGTCATAGTCACGCCCCTAAAGGGGCGATTACATGTACACCGTTTCGGATGTGTATATGATTTTCTTTGTGTAGTTTTCATTACGGCATTTTAAAATGCACATTGATTTTTTTCTTGATACAATCATTGGTTGGCTTAAAAATGTGTATTTAATAACCCAGGTCAACATGAGTTGAAACTTAAATATTTTATAGTTAATTAGCTTTGATGACTATGTTTGTGTTAGTAATTATTGTTACAACATCATCATCTTTCCCATACGTGCCTTGGACACATAGGGCGGATGTAGTAGCGTTCATCTGTTTCAGTGACTTCGGCGTATGAAGGAATAGTGTGGTCAGCACTATGCTTAGTTTTCCCTAACGTAAGTTAGGTACCCATTACAGCTGGGTGGACTCAAGGACCTATACTGAGTTGAACCCGGATTCAAAATCGAGTCTAGTGCCCTACCACTAGGCCACGCCGTCCCATTCTGATTTAGGTAATTGTAATTATATGAGTGACCAATAGAAGCGCACTCTGCAACTATAATAGTACATAATGTATATAATGGGAGTAAAATGGCGTGGTAATGAATTATACGACTGACTTCACTCATACTGGCCATTGCAAATATTTACAACAGCTAGGTGCATGTTTGCTTAGGGATATCATCGCTTAGTGCACTGTACAAGGGCTCTAACTCGGTACAGCCGTCACGTGGTATCATGATAATTGTTGAGTCCTAATTTAATGTTGACTTGGAAGAGCTTTTATTATCGGATTTTTTTTAAAGTTCCCCTTTGACTAATTATCTCAGGCAAAATATATCAAGACAAAAGATAAGGACAAAAGTTTTCAGACTAAATACATTAGACCAAATATATCAGACCAAATATGTCAGACCTAATATATCAGACAAATATCTCAGACAAAATATCTCAGACAAAATATCTCAGACAAAATATCTCAGACAAAATATCTCAGACAAAATATCTCAGACAAAATATCTCAGACAAAATATCTCAGACAAAATATCTCAGACAAAATATCTCAGACAAAATATCTCAGACACAATGTCTCTGATGTATGAATACTACTCGTTAAAAGGGATGGGAACATCTTGAGCTGAGCTACCGCACTCGGCGCCACACACGCCCTTAATACACCAGTGCCGTACTACTAAATTAACAGTGTATCTAGCGCCAAGCACTATGTGGTCGACCCAACTGTGCAAGACTGCTAAACAAAAACCACCATGCTCTAATGCGGAACAGGGCATTTCCCCCCTGTCAATATCCCCCGGACAATCCCCCCCCCCCCCCCCGACGTTACCCCCCGGAGTAATTACCCCCCCCCCCCCCCCCGTGTCAATTATCCCCTGTCAATTACCCCCCGCCGGGTAGGACATTACCCCCGGACAGGGTTAGAGTTAGGGTTAGAGCTAGGTTTAGGGCTAGGGTTAGGGTTTGGGTTTGGGTTAGGGTTAGAGCTAGGTTTAGGGCTAGGGTTAGGGTTAGGGTTAGGGTTAGGGTTAGGGTTAGGGCTAGGGTTAGGGTTAGGGTTAGGGTTAGGATTAGGGTTAGGGCTAGGTTTATGGCTAGGGCTAGGGTTAGGGTTAGGGTTAGGGTTAGGGTTAGGGTTAGGGTTAGGGTTAGGATTAGGGCTAGGGCTAGGGCTAGGGCTAGGGCTAGGGCTAGGGCTAGGGCTAGGGCTAGGGCTAGGGCTAGGGCTAGGGCTAGGGCTAGGGCTAGGGCTAGGGCTAGGGCTAGGGCTAGGGCTAGGGCTAGGGCTAGGGCTAGGGCTAGGGCTAGGGCTAGGGCTAGGGCTAGGGCTAGGGCTAGGGCTAGGGCTAGGGCTAGGGCTAGGGCTAGGGCTAGGGCTAGGGCTAGGGCTAGGGCTAGGGCTAGGGCTAGGGCTAGGGCTAGGGCTGGGGCTGGGGCTGGGGCTAGGGCTGGGGCTAGGGCTAGGGCTGGGGCTAGGGCTAGGGCTAGGGCTAGGGCTAGGGCTAGGGCTAGGGCTAGGGCTAGGGCTAGGGCTAGGGCTAGGGCTAGGGCTAGGGCTAGGGCTAGGGCTAGGGCTAGGGCTAGGGCTAGGGCTAGGGCTAGGGCTAGGGTTAGGGTTAGGGTTAGGGCTGAGGTTAGGGTTAGGGTTAGGATTAGGGTTAGGGTTAGTGTTGGGGTTAATATTAGGGTTAGGGCTAGGGTTAGGATTAGAACTAGTGTTAGGGTTAGGGTTGTGTCTATCGTTGGTTTTGTGTGAAGTTTTAGGGTAAGGTGAATGCTTAGGTTTTGGTCTTTTTTATTAAGGTTTGGATTAAAGAAGTATATAGGTATAGAATTCTAGTTAGAGTTAGGATTCTAACTTGAAAGGGGGGGGGGGGGGTAATTCCCCTAGGGAAGGTAATTCACAGGGGGGTAATTCACAGGGGGGTAATTGCTCCGGGGGGTAAATATGGGGGGAAATGTCCGGGAGGGTAATTTCCGGGGGGGGGGGTAATGTCCTGTAGCCGCTCTAATGTAGGCCTAGATATCACGTTAGGGAAGGCACAGATGGCTTGGCATAGTGCTGATCACAATCAGAGGACGCAAAAGAAGGTGAACACTACTCAATGGATTGTCAAATATGTAATGTTAATATTACATTACTTCTCGCCTTACCTGAAGAATAGCATGAAAGAAAATCTGCACGCAAACCACTTTGAAGATTTTACACATAAATTAGGCGGTCATGTCAGTGTTTCTATTATAGAGTATCGATGACGACATTTCTTTTGAGTTGGGGGGGGGGGGGGGCTTAGACGTTCTTTCGCGAGGGTGGGGCTTCGCCCCTACCCGAAGAATTGTATGAATGAAACTCTTCACGCAAACCACTTAGATTAGACAAAATTGCTTTTATATTCAATGTTTACTCGAGAATCAATGACGTCATATTACTGTGTGCACTCTCCGGCTTGATACTATTTTCTACTATATGCTAAATGTGACGTCATATTTCGTTTTCGTTTTACTATGACACTTTTTATTTTGCTTGTGTTTTCTTCATAGCGTTCTTGTCAGATAGATACATACACAGACAGACAGCGAAACTATTATTATAGACGAGAAAAATGGCCCGTTGAGGAAGGATACAACTGGCGCTAGGTTGATAGTGATGTCTATTTTTTCTAAACAAAAACCAAAACCAAAATCACCACCTATACTTCAAATTTAAACAGAAACGAAAAATGACATTGAAAACGGATTTTTCTATCCAGAATCAGCATTTTAATCAGATTTAAGCATGATCTACGCGTAGTTATCTCGCATTTATACTAAATATAGTCGTAGCCATATCTCTAAACCATGCACCTTATCTCAATCATAACAAAAGCCGCATTTAGAGTTTTTTTCAGGCAACTCTATTTGGGACTATGGGGGCTCCGCCCCCCCCCCCTCCCACACACACACACCACAAAACATGTCTACCGTCCCATTCAACGAACTATAATTATATACTTTTTTCCCCTCCCAGAAAATTCCACCCCCGCCCCCGAAAATTTCAAGTACCCCACCCCTCTCGGGGAAGGAAAATGTCTGAAAAAAACACTGGTCGCATTTGTTGATCATACAAACTAAAGGTAGAGCCTGGAAGAGCTGCATGAAAGAACTGCGCGCTAAACACTTTTTAGATTAGAAAATTTCAAGTTCCCCGCTCAGGAGAGGAAAAAGTCTGAAAGAAACACTGGTGTTGCGCTTAGCCACTACTCGAAAAATTGCATGAAAGAAAATGCACGCAAACCACTTTTTAGCATAGACACATTAATTAGGCGGTAATTTTATTATAGAGTATCGATGACATTTCTTTTGAGTTGGGAGAAGGGGGCGGCTTAGACGTTCTTTCTTGAGGGTGGGGCTTCGCCCCTACCCGAAGAATTGTATGAATGAAACTCTTCACGCAAACCACTTAGATTAGACAAAATTGCTTTCTTGTGTTTTCTCTATAGCGTTCTTGTCAGTTAGATACACAGACAGATACATACACAGACAGCGAAACTATTAGTATAGACGAGAAAAATGGCCCGTTGAGGAATGATACAACAGGCGCTAGGTTGATAGTGCTGTCTATTTTCTCTAAACTAAAACCAACCCCCCCCCCCCCCAACATGTCTACCGTCCCATTCAACGAAATATAATTATATACTTTTTCCAGTGTCCGCCCCCTCCCAAAAAGTTCTACCCCCGCCCCCTGAAAATTTCAAGTACCCCCACCCCTCTCCGGTGAAGAAAACGTCTGAAAGAAACACTGGTCGCATTTGTAGATCATACAGACTAAAGGAAGAACCTGGGCGGGGCTTTGCCGGAAGAGATGCATGAAAAAAAATGCATGCTAAACACTTTTTAGATTAGAAAAAGGTCCTCCCTCCGGGGAGGAAAAAGTCTGAAAGAAACACCCGAAGAACTGCATGAAAGAAACTCCTGCACGCAAACCACTTTTTAGATTAGACACATGAATTAGGCTTGAATTTTATTATAGAGCATTGATGACGATATTTCTTTTGAGTTGGGGGGGGGAGGTCGGCTTAGACGTTTTACGCGGGGGATGGGCTTCGCCCCTACCCGAAGAATCGTATGA